GGCGACGCCGAGGTGGCGTAGCAGCCGCGGTGGAGTGGATGCTGTGGGCCCCAGGCCGCCTTGGGGGGCGCGGTCGCCGGGTTGCCATACGGACCCCCATTCCCCCTCCCCCCTCCCCTTTGGCCCATGGCCGGCGTCGGCCAGGGCGGGGGGAAACTGTCGTGTTGGGTGCCCAGAGGGGGCGGCACCCACGGTGCGAAATCGGCAACTTGGCAGGCTGCTTGGGAATGGTACTCGAAGGGACACTGTGGCGGATGCGGCTGCCCGGGTGGGTGCATCGCGTTGTGATTGGCCAGGGAAATCCAGAGGTCCGCCAAAAGACTCTTGTTATAAATCTCCATCGATCGATTCATTGCTTTTTTCTGGGTTCGCCTCCAGGAGCTCATGTCTGCACGTTTTTCGGGATGTCGAAAGCCCCCTTTCGTTGCTGCATATGCTCGATGCTGTGGTAGCCCGCCATTGCCCATGGGCACGGAGTCAGTCACATTATCATTACACTGTGTGTGAGCATTCGCGTTTGACGGAGCATTCTTGACTTGGTCTTGCGCGGTCGGAGCCGATGAAGACGTATCCTCCACCGCATCCCATTCGATTTCTTTACGCTCATCACCACGTTGGAGAAGAGCGTGTTCAAGCTTCTCGACAATCTTACGGTTGTCATGGAATATTTTTATGAGGTAGGGGTGGGGGAATGTGGAGACAATTGGACCCCTTCGCCGGATTTCTACATACGAGTTGAGTAGCACAGGAGAACTGTCTGCTTGAGAGGATGCCTCCCCGTAGCACGATTTTTCAAAAGTATTAGTCGATGCATTTTCACGAGTTGGTAATAAAACGTTCGAGGAAACGGCCTGTTCCAAGGTGCTTTCCTTTATCTGAGTGTTTTCCTCCATACTGGTGCACTTGCTACCGACTTTAGGCACATCAACAGGTTGGCAAAAGTCGTCCTGGTTGACGCCGTCGAGGTCGAAGTGTCTCCTGGCATCCCTCTGGCAATCGCCCACGCTCTGACATGGTGCTGGGCAAGGCTGCAGCGAAGCGCTTTCGCTGACAAACGACGTCAACAAGCGGCGGTCGAAATGCTGCTGATCATCCTCAGACAGTTTCGCCATGAGGAGGATACCATTGCAACTAACGAAGGGGAAGGCACAATGGACTGCCTCGAGGGCACTCAAGGCAGCACCTTCTTCTTTGAAAGTTACAAAAGCACTGTTCCGTTTGTATTTGGGATTCTCACAGGGCGCCGGTTTCCTGGAATTGAAACTCAAGCTCGTAGTAGCGGTGTCGGCGTATATGTCGAGATGCGTGACCGTACCGTGGTGTGACATAACCATCTTCAGTTCGGCAAGCGTAACCTCTGTAGGGATATTCCTCACGAACAGCTTGCGCATGGCGAGACGAGCGTTACCAACGATGGCGTTGTCGTGTTTCGTATTAGCACACTTTTCCATCATAGGATTGATTCCAAACCCCATATAACAGAAGTATTGCATCGCCAAAGGCACGGACTCATGGGTTTCAAACCTCACAAACGCGGTACCGAAGGGGTCGCCGGTGTGAACGCCGCGCATAATAGTTGCCGAGACGACGATACCAAATGGCTTAAACATAGCTCTTAGCAGTTGGTCATCAATTTGGGGAGGAAGATAAGCAACATAAAGGTTGGTCTTGCTGCGATCCAAAAATACAGGGGCCACATCGGCGGAAATGAGTAACTTTCGTACAGACCACCAAATGGAATCGCATTGAGCCCTCATTATGCAGTTCGCCAGGATGGGGCCGAAGATAGAGACTTCTCGATTGACATGCAACAAGTTTTGATTGTCCATGATGGAGCGCAAGTTCGCGCGGTGAGTCATCAATTAGTTTTCTTTAACCCACTTTTTTTCACCTCCCCCCCTTTAATGTGTGTTTGTTATTTTCTTTCTTGTGTGCCAAAGCTTTGCCCTATATGATCGGAAATGGTGAATTTTGAATCTACAAAAACACACGAAACCAGAGTACATTTTATAGGTCATCAAAAATGCTGGTATCAAGCGCTCGAACGAAATGCATAAAAAGATGAGTAAAACAATCGTTTACAGACTCACAACACTGTCAACACGGAGGCTAAATACAACACGAGTAAAGGAATCCTATCTGTCACTCAGCTAAGAAAATTCTACTATTATAAGCCCGACACGATATTTAGCCAGAAAAAGACATTCATGCGTTGGTTGGGCATTCCATGGATCTGTTGGAATACTAGCAGGATCGCTCACAGCTGCTGTCTGGCTTTTTATACGTGTTTGGTTTATATATACTCCGTCCATTCTAATTAATGAGATAGTCTGTGAACAAAGAAAATAGATTCACGCAAATGCCATATATACGTGAAAACTAGAAAAAATGCCATTAAACGATTTCAAGAGCAATTTGACTTATTTATTATTATGATTATTATTATTCCAACAAGAGTTGGAAGGCACACAGTGGACCCCAAACTTTCAGCAGAACGTGTTTTCGTCCTTTGGAATGCTATAGAAAGAAAGAGCAACGAAGATGGATATCAAAAGGGTGACAATTAGTAAAATACTCCTTGACGCGTGATGCTTTCCTTTTTTCATGAATGCTTGCATCCATCAGGACATATGCCAAATCACAGGAAGTGTACCGTTCTCTTCGCAGTCTGTGAAGCGTTCGCGCGCTTCTTTTCCATCTCGCCCACTGTCTGGTACGCCTTTTTCAGAGCACTTTTCTCTTGGCGCCGTTCCCGTTGAGCCATTTTGACTGCCTGTCTTCGCATCTTCTTCTCTTCCTTGGTTTCATCCTTGGATCGAAGAGTTAGTATTGGGGTTGCGGCTGAGGTCTGTAAGGTTCCGGTCCCACTATGGCTAGAATTGCAATCTTCTTTGTCCTTTCCCCCCTCAGATGATTCATTCACGCCTGACGCCTTTTTATAAGAATCCAAAATCACACCCGAGGTTTTTAGATCGCCATCGTGGGGCAAAACCTTTCGTTTTGATTTCTGTTTCCCCCTCGTCGTCGTTGAACGGATCACGTTGGGCTGGTTGTAATACGTAGAGTAGACACTAACAGCCGTCTCACAGTCCAGTCGCTTATCCCTCGACTTTATGATAGCAATACGAAACTCTTCCTCCTCCTCCTCTGGTTCACACGTTACGACGTTGTCCTGATCAGGTGTACCATCATGCACTTTCGCCAAGTTGCGATTGCTACATAAATCCACCTCTGCAGACGTTTCAGAAAGCTTCGGTAACGCCTCGCCACTACTCACAGCATCCTCCCCGTTGAAAGAAACAAGCCTACGGGGTTGCTGCTCGCGATAGGTTTCTTCCACTTCTTGATTTTCTGCCAAGGCCTTTCTCGACAGCCGCAGCGCCGCCTCAGCCCGAATTTGTTCTGTTTCGCGCCTGAACTCCTCGGCGAACCGCGCTTTCTTCTCCGAGGCCAACGTAGTCTTGTACACCCCTCCGCGGGAGTCGGCATCAAAAGCCCCTGCCCGGTACGCCAACAGCTCTAGCTGATGGATGAGGCCTTTGTTTTTTGCCGGTTCACTGGTTGAGTAGTTAACGCCGGCGCGCTCGACAACAAATTCCTTAAGTGCACCAAGGTATTTATCCATGGGCAGCGCCCCGTGCGTGCGGGGGTCGTTTGTGTAGGCGTCGTTGATCTGCGCATCAACGTCGAATTCACGCATCATTTCCGTGAACTGTCGATCTATGGCGCGTTGCGTTATGTTGTGTACGGGGTAGGGCTGCGCGGTAACGGCGTCGACGCCAAGCTCCGCGTTAGGGGTGACCTTGGAGCGGCCGAGTGCAGCGCCGCGTGCATTCGCTGCTCGCACACCAGCCTTCTCCTCATCCGTCAGGAGCTGCCACGCGTCCTGTGGTATGCCGTACCGCTCCCCTTCGTGATCGCGGTCGTCATCATCTTTATCCTTCATAGCATCAGCATCCGTTTCGCTGAACGCATCGCCATCCCCTGCATCATTCCCCGTGCCAAACACTAGTTGACGGAGAAAATTGTCCGTCACTTCGCACTCAACCTCATCGTCGAAGAGCTTGTCGTCGTCATCAGCATCGTCTTGCTCTTCCTGTATATTTGTATCGTGCTTGGGATACTGACGAGGGCCGGCGCTTGCATGAGCAGCTGTATTCTCGCGATACCCTTTCCATTCCTTCGTCAGTTCATCCGCATAGATATCATCGCTACCGCCTATTTTTTTTTGAGTGGATTCGGAAGGCGGATGCCCACTGAGTCGCTTTGGTGGTTGAGATGCATTTATGTGCAATCCATCTTCATCGTCGATTTCCTCTTCTTCATAGAAGTCCCCAGCGTCGTTATCTACCCACTCGTCCCCGTCATCATCGTCGTAATAGTCTTCATAGTTTTCATGGTCCTCATAGTCATTACCTCTCTTTCTGGGCGCGTGGTTGCGACGTAAGTCTTCTTCCTTCACCCATTCCATACCATCACCATCAGTATCCCCATTATTTTCATCATTGCGGGGACGGTGAACGAGCTTATACGTTGTTCCCCGAGCTTGACGTCGAAGGAGGGCTTTTCTGTGCTTTGATACCATTAAAACCTATGAATAGAGTACTGAGGGAAAAATTAAATCGATTTTTTTCCGTAATCTTGTGGGAGACTTAAGCCCTAATGGAACCAATATGCAGACGCGCTCCACTAAAATCTTCTGTTTTTCTTAGAGGTATCTATTCTCTTTTCTTAACTAAGCAATAGAGTGAGTGTAGAAAATCAGTTTCCCTCGATACATCATGCCAACATGCATAAATAAAAGGAATGTTGTCAATATACGCTCATTTTCACCACAGTTGAGAGTGAAACAACAGTTACTTAGGTGCTCACAGGAGAGTGGTAGAATAGTAAAACTTCACTTGTAGCCATGCTTTCTGGGAGAAAACACCAAAACATAAGTATGTATAGAGAGAGAAAAGATAGAAAAATTATTTAGATGCATGTGAAGAGTTAAAGCAAGGAAAGTAACATTTTTTTGTCTATAAAAGGGCATCTGTTGTCTAATCGCATCGAGACAAGCCCGTTTTATGTTGCGGTAGTTCGGACAACACGCACTTTCCGTCACATTAGAATTGGCTGCGTAGATTCTTCCATACAAGTATTCGATACAACCAACTGTGGGCAGTCAAACTTTTGGATTAGGGAGCTTCTCTGCTAAACCATCGATTGGTTTGAGTGCGTTTTAGGAAGGAAAGGATGCGATCAATCCATAACGGTTTCATTACCATAACTAATGTGTTGCGTATTCTTGACCATGTATATTCTTTTTTCTTATAGCTATCGGACTTATCAAGAAGGAAGGAAATCACTTCAGGCAATGATTAAAACAGATGCATCGCATGAAACACAAGTTTTTGTCTTGTTATTTACTAGATTTATATATGCATATAGTGACATAAAGTTCTACCAAATCGATCAACTTAGCCTTATCTGCAGTTTAGGCCTCAAGATTGCATTTTCTAAAAATACAAGAGCATTCTTACGATAACCCATCTTTTGGTTTAATTCATTTAAGCGAAATATTCCCTGCACCTACTCTTAATGATCCTCATTTTGCTTGCTTGCTTAGTTGGTTTCATTAAAACACCACGTACAAGAAGGGTGTAGAACATAAAATTGCATAGTAAACGCAAGGAAATAGATAATAAAAGGGACTGTTGTAGCCACAAAGGAAATGATATTCGCATAGATGGAAGCTTCATAAGAATTTATAGATAATAAAGCGTTAAATACGTTGCTTAATAGTGATAACAAATATTCAACGCCAAATGGTAGATTGATATAAGTCTCACTGTAATTAAGAACCGCACTACAGTATAGACGTCACTAACACGCGTCAAAACTATAGTATGGAAGAAAGAGAGAAAAATCGATGAATCAAAGTACTGAGAACAAGAAAAAGACACACGATATCCATACATTCAAAACACGAAATGGATCCCCCTCCACTTCTTGGAGAATAAAGGGCACACAATAAAACATGTAGAAACTAAGAGGAAAATGGAACTAAGCTGTACAAAGTTGGCCCTAGCATAGGAGGCAAAAAAGGAAAGCAAATGCTAAGAAGAAAATCAAACAAGGCTTTCCTCCTAAAGTATTATAACTCATCATTTGGATGCAAAATAAAATAAACAAAAATCAAGGGGAAAAATTGCTAAGAAATCGTGTTCCGCCTCTTAAATGAAACCCATAAAGATCCCAAAAAAAAAGAGTAAAAGTCAATACTATTATCAACACGTGCCAAGAATATTCGAATTGTAGGTACATTCCGCTTATCTATCTATATAGATAAACATATGACTCGATTATTAAGTATCTGAGGCTATTGAATTCAACATCGACATAAACTGTTTGTCTCCATCGAGAATATCCTCCTCACTTGACTCGTGCGGGTTCTCCACGACTAGGGCTAAGGGACTTCCTGCGTGATCCAGTAGCGGGGCAACCCATGGACTGCTCGGATCCGTCGCCCACTTTGACAGGTCGCTAGTCCCGGAGACCGCTCCTACCCTCTGGGATGTGTTTAAGCCGCAGCGATTTGCATGAGAAGTACCAGACGCCATAGAGGAGTCAGTGGCGCTATACGACGGAAAACACACCATCCCGGAGGAAGTGCTACTGCTTGGTGTGCCGCTGAGCGGCCCTTTGTCTTTCTTGCAGGATACCACGTCTGTGTTACCGACGCCACGACCAAGAGAAGAGCAAAAGGCCTTCTCTGTGGTAGTCGTCATGGGTTTCTCAGAATCATTGGCCGTAGTCGAGACCGAATACTCCTGGTTAGCAACGCTAAGGTTATGCAGCTTCTCAATAACCTTACCGAATCTCGTGCACGTCTCGTTCAGATTTTTTGTCTGGCTCATCGACAAAGATATGGGGGAGGATTTCATCTCACCACGGGAGTCTTCGTTTTGGGAAGCTTGGCTAGCCTTTTGCAAGCCAACCAACAGTGCGTCGTTCAGTGACGGAAAAACCCTCAATGAGCTGGTGGCCTCCGTGATGGTGTTTGCACCACCGTAGCAACAGAAAGCATCGCCCGTGTGCGAGGCTGCTTGAGTGAGCGATGATGAAATACCAGCCATTGGTGGAAACCAGTTGGCAGTACCCGTACGCTTCGAGGACAGAGGGCTGTAGCACCGTAGATCACAGTGAGCAACAGGCGTGGGCTGCACCAGGTCTGGACTTAACAGTGTGGCAGCACTTCCATTAGGATTGCCGCCACCACCGTTATTGCTCCTTATGGCTTGCAAAAATGAAGGATCTAGGCCGTTGAAGGTGAAGGGTATGTTTGTTACCGGCATTTGTTGCACTATTGGTATCTGCCCATAGGTTAACGACCCATCCATAGTGTTACCGTAGCTGGTTCGGGCTGTATCGCTGGTTTCAAATGGCAGCACCGGATTCAGAAGAGGACTGTTCATCGAGCCACTTGGGATAACGTTAGGAATATTTTGGGTGTGCGTGCTGAGGTTGTTATTAGATGAGCAGTACAAATTTCCCGACGAAGGGATCGCAAATGCGGCGGTGTGACCATTCCCCTCACGCGTAGTCCCCCCTCCGTTCGACACCGATGCCACTATGTTGGTTCTTTTTTGACCCCATTCATGAGTCGGAGAGCTGGGGCAGTCGTTGTGCTTATGCGGTCGTGTTGGCTGATCCCCCACAATTTTAATCATTAGCGGAATCCCCTCACAGGAAGGGAAAGGATACGTGTTGTGAATCGCCTTGCAGGCCTCCTGGGCAACACCAGCCGAGGCATAGGTAACAAACGCGATGCGGCGCTTCATCAGATTCGAGGTGCTCTGCCCAGCAGCGCTGGTATCCCGATGCAGACTGACCCCCTGCAACTCACCGTAGGACCGAAAGAGATCTTCAAGCATTTCATGGGTGACGTCACGTGGGATGTTTCTCACAAAGAGCTTATGCATGCACCACTTTTCCTTATAGGTGGGCACATTATCATGCTGACGCCTTGCCCATTGCAAGGTGATGTTATAGCGTGTGACGGGCTTTCGAGGGTTATTTATTGCGACCATGGCTTTCTTCGCCTGCTCATGGGTCTCGTAGCGTACAAACCCCATGCCCCGGTTTACGCCAGTGTGAATGTCGCGCGTAATTATGTGCGCCAGAATATGACCGTAGGGCTCAAAAATTTTGACTAGTTGTTCTTCATCCATAGTTTGTGGCGAAAATCGCACAAAAAGGTTGGTACTACTGTATATCGAGTTAGACGCCTGACCAAGGTGCGGATTATCCATTACAGATCGTGTGGATGTAGCTGAGACCCGGGCGCCCTCACTCCATGTCCTCGCTAACGGGTTTATACTTTTACCAAGAGGCATTTTTCCTTGTTCTCTATCGTCTGGGTACTGTGGGCGCGTGTCGGAGGTGTAGGTCATCGCAAGCATATTTGTCGAGGACGAAAATGACTGCAGGTCCTGAGTCCAGCGCCAAGGGGAGGCCATTTCTTCACGGTCATTACTTTGATTTTGAAGGCTCTTAATTTCAGAAAATACCTGTTCCGGATGTTGCTGTATTGAATTCTTCAACAACAAATTATTGTTGACATAGAATACATTACTCTCATTGAACGTGTACGGACAACCATGGTTAGCATTGTGTTCGACAAAGTTTGGGATTCGAACACCTGGCATGGTATAATTTGGATGCGGCCCACTAATACCCGACACTGGGGCGGTACTTGCAGCCATCGGCTGTGCGTTCAAAGCACCTTTGAATGGCTGAGATTGCTGCTGCTGCCAGCAACCAAGGGACTGAATTGGCTGTGTAGAGAGTGTGTGACGACGTAGCGCCTCTTCAGCATGAATTTCAGATTGCATTTTGAGGTCTTCAACAAGGCTTGTGATTAAGTAAAATGGTTATTTTGTTTGTATCACAGCAAATTGAATACTGAATATCTGGTTGATGCTTATTTTGAATCACTTATTGGATAACAAGCAAACAAATATTTCTCAGTCAAAAAAGGTGGATATCGTAGAAACAGAATGAATGAATGCATAAATAAATAAATAGAAGTATCTGGAGATGGCTTATTTACAAGTTCGAAAGTAAATAGACGTGAATCTTTATAAACGAATTGAAAGTTTCCTTGAAGTATTTTGTACCTAGACGTTGAGCAAAGATAAAAATGATCAAATACAACAAGGAAATGAACAACCAAACAAGTAAAAAAAATTAGTAATGAACAATGAAAACTAATGTTGGATTGCTATAGCTGTGCACTTCGCCTATCGGCCACTTGTAGAAGATGTGAAGTTTAGAACCAAGTTTATCCAAACGAGTTACCGGGAAATGTTAAAATAATCTCTTAAAAATCGCAATGATAAATAGAAATGCTAAACGAAGAAGAACAATGATCTTCACAACTTGAACAAGCAGAAATAATACGGAAAATAAATAAGCAAACGATACTACACAACAGAGCCTACTTTAAAGGGAGGAAAGAACAGGAAACTTGCAAAAAAATATATAAAATGTGTTGTAGCAAATTTTCTGTGTTATTTTTTCCCCCTTGGTTTTCTGTATTCGACTCAATATACTTCTCCGTGTTAAAAATTAATTTTAATGAGTTCTTGTTTTTGATCTTAGATTATCTTTCTTTTAGACTTCTAAAGATTAGATAAAAGAAAAAAACAACACTGCAATGATGCCTGAAGTTATATATATATATATATATATATGTGTGTGTATGTATTATTATTATTTACCAGCAACACTATAAGGAACTACAAACGGAAATAAGAGTTAATCGATGACTCGAGCCTTTATTTTATCCACTCAATACAGAAAAATTTAAGTATTGGGATAAACTGATCAGTAAACCACCTTTTCTATTAGAAGATGTGCCCCAATATTTTTCTGATTGATACTTTTACTCTTATTGTTCGTTAAACAGCTCTAGTAATACCACTTGCTTAAGATTTTTGCTTCAGAAAGGTGTGAGTGATACTGGAGCTTCCCTAATAATTAGTCAAAGAAACACTTAATGTTGATATTCCTTAATTCCCTTTGTTTTTCAGAACGATATTATTGGCAAAAAGAGCAATTCAGCCTAGCCTCCGTGGAAATATTATGGAAAAGGAAATACTTAAATTCTGACACTTGTCAATCCCTTTTTATAACAAAAATTGTGGAAGTTAATGTATATATATACATATATATATATGTATGTATGTATATATGCATATATACACTTCTTCTTTAGCTTTAAAGTGCCGTTATATTTTTGTTGATGCTTGTATCGCTAAAGGGATATATATATATATATATAAAGGTTTTTGTGATAAAATGTTGCCTAGAAAGGGCAACAAAAATAGTAAAGCACAAAAAAAAATTAGTTTGGAAGTTAGTGTGCCCTGGATTTTATTTGTACTACGTACGAGGTTATATTGATACTTTTTATTTCACTACCTTTCTATGATAATGATAATGAAGATATAAGAAAGATATTTGGAGGGAAAAGTTATGAGAGGTAAATTATGCAGGTAAGTGGAAACATACATACTATATATATATATATGTATAAGTAGCTTGTTTATAAGCAAAGAGAAAAATGAAGAGTTTGAATCATTGACTGCAGTGACTCTTTTTCTTTGTAACCTTCATTTTTGAACATAAAGTCGTGAATCTGTAGAATTGGTTATACGAAAAAGGAAACAAATAATCATCACTAATGGTTGAGCGTTCCGACATCGCAGATAAGTCAGACAAACACGCAAAACGAAAAAGTACCAAGTATTTGTAAACTCCCTTTATTTTCCATCCTTCGTAAATTGAACTCATCTTCTGTGCGTTTATGGAGAAGGGGGATTGTAGGGGCGCGTTTGCCGGTCGCTTCAGCACTCAACCACCTACCAGGACTAAATTACACGCAGAGCATTGGAGGGTCCTTGTCTCCAGTCAACGTTGTCTCTACTTGTGGGCGATAGGAATGAAACAAAAATGCCGCTATTCTTGATTAGAACTGAGAAAGAGGTTCAACAAAAGCATTTAAGAAGGCAGTAAGAATCAAAGGAAGTATTCCTTTACATGTTCTCTCCTCCCCTCATACTCATGTACTCATTTGTATTATAATGTTTGTCAAATTAGATTTGTATTTACTCTCACATCGCTCCGAATGAATTCGAAGAGAAATTTCGAAATAGTAATACTGGCCCCATTTCGGCACAGCAAATAGTGACTTCCAAGAAAAAAGTGCTCAGGGAAAGAATCATGTTAATACATGGGAAACAATTTCATAGCTTTTATTATTTTAAATTTCTTAGAAGCAAATATAACACACAGAAAGTTACATCAGTAACTCGGCGCATATGTATAGATGCGCTGCATTGGATGGAAAAAAATGCAAAAGTCCTATTACTATTTGATGCCATTACAAAAGGCATCCTATGGTGTGGAAAAATATCCTCAAAATATTCTAATAGTTGTGATTTATATTAAAACTGGTAATTTTTTTTCAAAAGACAAGGTTCAGATAGTACATCTGAAAATTCATTGTATCCACTCTCCTTTGCCGTTCCTTTAGACATACATTTACATAGGCGTTTAGACATTGGGATTTTCCGCCTTGATGGTTTCATAAAGTGAGAGAATAGAAAACGAAAACGCCGAGTGTATACATAAAGTAAATAATTATATATTGAATTACTAGAAAAAGATCTTCTTGTGTACATGCACATTCACGTAGAAAAAACTGCATAATCAAGTTTGTACTTAAAAATAAATATATATTATCACTTTCGAGATGCTATTTATCCCAGTATTCAAACATGGAAATAAAAGTATTAAAAGATTAATATAAGGCCATTTTTTAATCTGTTTTTTTTCCATAACATTTTGTTATTTTCCAGCTTTCAAAAGTTTTTAAACAAAAAATGATCTTAGAGAAACGAATAAACAACAGCAAGAACGAAAATTCACTCACAGTGTAATACATGAATATTCCTATTGCGAAGAAGAAATGGAAACAAGAACATTGGAAGCACTTCTAACTGTTTTTCTCCTACAAAGCGATAATTTTTTCACGTAGAAAAAGAAGACACACGTATTTCATATTTGATTAGTCTGATACATTTTAGTTGCAAGGTTAGAAAAGTAATGCGTGTACCCCTATATGTAGCAAAAAAATAATATTTATTTACACACTTATCCTCATATTTCAGTATACTTGCATAAAATATTTTTCCTATTCCAATAATCCCTCAGTATGTGAAAACTTTCCAAAAAACAACATGCACATATTTTTTTAAGGACTTATGATTGAAAATGTACGCCAAGAGATACATAGGAAATACAGACACTTGGGTATAGAAATTCAAATGGGGTTCTACATGTATATCATTCCCTTATAAATTGAAATTCATTTAGTTACATTTAATGTTTTTTTTTGTGTGTGTATGAAAGAAAATTTGAAACAGATGCGTCAATCTTTAAGATGGAAAGCATTTAATCCTTCAAATGCACACAAAATCACGTTAAAGTAAATACTCAGAAAGGCAACATTAATTATACTTTTCCACACCCCGTGTATATCTTCAATATATCGTCCCTGTTGATTCATGGATCGATATAGCGTTACTCAATATGTATATGTAGTCATTTATTTTCAAGGGCACATGAGTTTATGTGGGAAAGTCTGGGGTGGGGAAGAGTGAACCCAAAATTCGAACAATGTTAAGAACTAAAAAATAACAAAAATGAAAGGCACTATTTCATTATATATATATATAGATAGATAGATAAGTAAGTAAGAATTTAACAAGAAAAAACTGCATCTACCCTTAGATTGAAAAGAAGAGTATTCTTATTCGTGTTACTTGAGTACGTGTACCGCACAGTATGCGGGGGGGAAGGAGGGGGGCAAAATCGAGGAAAAGAAACAAGAAAAGCGTCCAAAGTGACTCCTCAAAAGAAGGAAATGTAACAAGTAGTGAAAATATGGGAAAAGAGTAATATGAAAACAACAACAATGACGATAATAAGATGAATGAACTTCTAAGGGATTGTTTTTGAATTACGATACATTTTGCGTTCTTTGATTTTCTCGTTTCCTTTCTTCTTTTGATATAGTAATTGTACCCCTTCTAATACGTTATTATGCATAAGAGTATACCTGTTTCGCTCATGGAAGTTCAATGTAGGCATATATATAGCCTTTTCATTTGCGTTTTGTTCATTTCCATCATATAGGCACTGTCGTTTTCATCTTGTTCCCCTTCAATTAACCCTTACTTGAGAGGCTTGGGGTCTTCATTCCCTGAGAATCAATCAGCTCCTTGAGTAATTCGCCAACCATTCTAGCATTCTTCGATGCCTCATCCTTGAGGTACAGCAACGACACCTCCATCGTCGCTTCTACTCATTTCAAACTACGTTGCAGATTTTTTTTGAGAGTTCTGTTTATCTAAGCTATGAATCCACCTGAAATGAATAGGGGTTGTGCCGGTAGCTACGTGCACCGCTTGACGATACATCCTTGAAGGAGGATGTGCGGCTCTTGCCGCTCATGCCCCCCGTCGTGTTGGGGTCTTCTTCGCTCAAGGGGGACTTGATAGAGGCCCAATCGGGATATCCAACGGACCCCACCCGTTGGATCCTTGTTTCGGGCATTTGCCCCTCATTTTCCCCCCTCACGAGCATCCCTTCATTATTATAGAAGTTGTTATCCGCGTTATAGTTCCAGCAGTCAGCGCTATTCTTGCCCGAGTGGTATCTGGGATACAGATTAGTATGGTAAGGCGATTCTGACGTGAGCGCCGACATGGTAGCGGTCCGTCCAAGCGCACTACGCGGGTTGGGAATCGGCACCGTACGCGTGGACGGGTCAGTATAGATCCCCCCGCTCGACGCGCAATGATGGAGCATGTTTCCTGTCGAATTTCCCTGCCTGGCAGGGAAACCACTAGGCGAGCTCTGCGCACTAGTGGGTTGCCAATTGCAGTGAGGAACGTGGATCGTATTCGGGCATTCATACCTTGTTTCAGAAGAGTTCACAGGATACGGATTGGGGAATCTGGAGTCGGCAATATCGGACGAGGTGGCGCTTTGGTACCTCGACAAACGATGGGTCGGTGTGTACGCGCCCCTTGTGGCGGAATCAAAGTCGAAAGTGGTCCCACCCGCCACCACGGTATCCAGTGGGAGAGTGGTCTGGCTCCCCGAAGGGGCGTAGAAGTCGTCTCGAAATACCAAGGAACCAACGCGGCTGTGCTGCAGAGAATGGGATGAGTTGCTTCTCCGTGACAACGGCTGGTGCTGTTCTTGCTGGTGAAACAAGGTAGGGGGGTACATAGGGTAGTCCTCAAAATTGAGGAACGAGACGGAGCTCTGGGTCCGCTGCGTCGATTTGACACAACCTGGGCTTTGGTTCCTAAAGGAAGGCGCCCGCTCTTGGGAAGGGCTTAGGAGTGCTGATTGCTGGAATGTTTTTATTGGATAGGTCTCCCTGTCGTGAGTAAGGTTATCAGAGCAGCTTCGGTTACGGAGTAAAATCAGCGTGTTCGCATGCTCCTCTGTGATATAATTATTGTTCGCAGAGTTCGTGGTGCCACCCCATCCAGGATACGGATTCGCAGTTGGAGGGATAAATTGAGAATTTGGTTGCGAAGTTGACTGAGTCTGAAGAATTGGCAATGGAGTGTCTGTTGATTTCTTTTTGAAGCTGCCTGAGGTTTTTAGCGTAGAGCAGTAGTGGGACGAGGATTTACCAGCGGAATGATGATGTTTCCGTTCCCTCCCGTTGTCCTCGGCAAGTTTAACCATGAGCGGAATGCCATTGCAGGACTCAAAGGGCTTTGTATTCTGAACTGCTACTGCCGCCTTCTCGGCCGCACCTTCTTCGCCGTAAATTACGAAGGCAATATGACGTACGAGCATGGGATCTGGCACAGGAGCGGTGTCTTTGTGGATCGTTACCTGATTGACCGATCCGTATTCAGAAAAAAATTTTGTTAGATCATCCACGGTAATGTCTAGTGGAATGTTGCGCACGAAGAGCTTCATGATCTTTCGCCGCGCCTCGCCCACGGGTATGCGCTCGTGCTTCCTCGCCCACTGCACGAAAATCGTTTTTCCTTCCAAAATGCTCCCAGACATCGCAACCATCGCTTCGTGTGCCTGCTCGTGAGTTTCGAATTCTACAAAAGCCGTGCCTAGGCTCTCACCAGTATGAATGTTTCGCATTACCGCTGATGAGAGAATTTTGCCAAACACAGAAAAGTGTTTTTCCAATATTTCCTGGCCCACCGAGTGATGAAGGTCATAGATAAAAAGATTGGTGCTGCTGAAGTTATGTCGGCCACTCTGAGGGCGTTGCGCAGGCATAGGATTTGATACCTGCACCTTGTCAAGGGATGGGTTGCCCTCACCTGTCTTAGAATTTTTACCCGAATGTTGTAAAGTGTTCGGCGTTGCATCGCTTTCTAAGCTTTGTTTACTTGGGGTTGGATTCATAAAATTCTTAGCCTCAGGAGTACTTAAATCCTGACAGGGTAATAGACAGCGCTCAAGAGTCGTCATGAGGGATGCTAAAGCTGATGATATCGGTGCAAAATGATCAGATACGCCCTTGGCCTCAAAAATGCTACTGTTTGTGTTGCACAATTCCCTTTACACACAGGAGGAGAAATCAATTATAAAAGTGGATGTAGTTTTGGTGCTAAAATGGAAAGACTGAGCGACAAAATTAAAGTAAATAAGAGAAGTGAGGCAATATTTCGTTTAATAGAAATCTGACATTTGCGTGCCAACCAGAGCTGAAGGGAGGGAAAAATGCTAGTTCATATAGATATCGACTAACAGTCAACTGTTAGGCTTTTCTGTATTTCCGTCTCCGTTCCACAACATCTTTAACAATATTTAAGCATGTGGAAACTAGAATTGATGCATAAAAATATAGTAAAATATATGAAGTTACAATGGAATGAATGTCAGTTATAGTTATTAAATCTCCGCCGTTGCCTTGTTAAAAGCGATACTTAAAAATATCACTTAACAAAAAGGGGTATAAATGATTCGCTGAATGAGAGTGAAAAATCCTATACATATGCATTTGTTTATAAAATTTCTTATTATCATCCCTTTTCATCACATCTTCAGCTGTGGTTATACATATTCATCGGACATATGTATATATATTATATATATATGTATATATATACATCGACGTACTGAGCTTCTTAGCTTATCTCTTCTAGGTTTCATTTTTTAGAATTTTTATACAATGCATTCATAAAGTGGATGATGATAAATGAAGATGGAGGCTAGATAGATGAGTAAGTATTTTACTTTAAAGAATCACTTGAAAAATATGTTAATCGAGGTATCGATAGACATGCACAAATTGAAAGAAATTGAATGAAAAAAATGAGAAGAGAATGAGAAAAGAACCAAAATAAAGGTTACACGCACTCCTTCCTTAAAATCACCATTGCAATTATGACCAGGAGAACAACCATAAAAATGATGTGAAAAAATCCCTGGGCAATAAACTTACTAAAATTATTTTGAACATAAATCTTGGAAAATGAGTGCAAAACATCGAAGTCACCATTTTTTGAAGATATAAACAAGGATATGCATTTTCTTAAATGTTTATCCTAATTTTTTTTACTAAACACATTCTTTCGCTCAATTTTAGGCGCTTAAAAGCAATTAGCTCCGCAATTTTCCCCACAAAATTCGATTGAATTTTGTAGATGCTTCGTAATTGACTCCTAATGGCGAAAAAAGAAATAGTACAAAGACATGCGTAGTTATGGTGGAGTTCATCATATTTTTTTCATCACAATATATTTGCTTCCATTTCATCTATAAGTAAACTTCATCGAGCTTTTAGAGTTTTTGCTTCTGTAGAGGACTTCCACTGGGGACACAGTAAATATTGCGAGGGAAAAAAATGTTGAATAGTCTAGTATTAGGCCACAAAAAGCAAAAAAAAATGGCCAGAACAAGAATGTTAAATTGACACAGTAGAAATATGAAATACAATTAGGTAATAAACCAGTTTGGATTATAAAAATAATATGTTAAAACTAAACATATATTTTATATAAAAATTATCTAGAAACCTTCTGAAGCCCTCAAGCAGAAACTAATTGAATTAAATCAACTATAAATACGGAAAATAAACAAAGAAACACAAAAATCAACAAAATAAACGGGTAACAACTAAATGGAAGGAAAACATAACAAAAACAACAGCTTAGAAAAGGCTCTACACGTATGAGAAAAGATATACGTGACACATTGAAGACCGTCGGTCACATATATCTACATATAGAATTATTTTGTTTCAAAATGCACTAAAAAATGTTTATAAGGTGTAATTCAATAATAAATACACAACACAATACGATATATTTGATATTACATTCACATGTATGTACTTATTTGCTCGTCTCAAAACCACTTTGCTAACAAAATAGAATAGTCATGCATCGGTAGTCGACGTCGTTTCCTCTTTCTCATTTTTACGAGCGTCTCTTTAAATCAACTTCGATGTTTTTGCCATAATTACTACAGGACAAAATGTATAACCGTTTAGTTCAATATGATTTTTCCCTGATATTTAGCCTGCCTCTCTTGACGAGCATTTGTCTCCTCAACATTCATGTATAAATATAAATAATATATATATATATATATATAATAAAGAGTCTATTTTATGAAATATAGAAAAACTCAAATACGACGGATAAAATCATATAGCAAAACACTACTTCTTAATATCCTTACATTCACATCAGTCCATATCATTCCCTTGCGGCAAGGGATCTTCAAAGATTCAAAATTTTCCTGAACACCCAATCAACCCTTATTCTGATCGGTACAATTTTACATAAATCAAAAAAAAATCGCTAGCTCCTTCAGTATTATCATGCTTAGAAATAATAATAATAATAATATGATGTCTTCTGAAACACGATGAAAGGTATTTAAAAAATGCACTTGATGGAAAAATGGGGAAAGGAATGTTTAAATAAATGAAGGTAAAGAAAACAACATAGGAAAATTTAGACAAAATTTTTATGCATACATATATATGTATATATATATATATATATACATGTATATTTATATAACAATAAAACTTTTTCTTAACCACAATGTATAGAGATGTAAAGAAAAATAAATAAAAGTTTATTCTCGAGCTTTTGCCTCCCTAATGACTCTTAACTCACTGACTTATAATGAAGCCTGTCGACGTTTGTGTTGCTTCAGCAAACCAGTACTAACGCAGTGCCTACTAGTCAGAGTCACACCTTATTCGAACCCGATTTCATAACTGATGAAGCTGAAGTATATCAATCATATTATCAATCGGAAATCGAAAAGCTAGGCTTGAAAATATCATGAATGCTTGTGATAGGCATCCCCTGGGGGCTTTGAGTAATGCTGTCCTTAGCATAGTGTTCGTTAACGAACCCCTTTGTCAAATTTATCAGCTCCTCATAATCCTTGTTGGCGTTGAAGGAGGTGATTTCATTTGATACAACAACTGAGGACGGAAAGGCTGCATTTTGATCGCTTAGTTTAGACTGGCTCTTGGACTGAATGGCGTCTCCAGAGTCTCCTGCATGGAAGTTTATCAAAGGATCCGCGGCAAACGTGTCCAACGACGGCATGTTAGGCAGCTTCAACTGTAAATGGTTCGAAATGTGCGCTTCGTTAGACGAAGTGAGCACCCGCGGCGTACTCATTTGTGAGACCGGGGTCGAGCTCGCCACGATGGGGGCCGTATTATTCACAGAATCGTGAGGGTGCTGCTGCTGCTGCTGCGCCTGGGAGGAGGTGGGCACGGTGTATACAACACCGGGCTGCTGCACCACAGGGTGGCCCCTTTCATCGACGCCCATGCATAAAAACGTCACAGGGGCCTGAAAGTAGGACGGGTAAGTCGACGTTGAGGTCGCAGCGGCGTAGTCCAGGGCGTTAAGGTAGGAGCCCGGCGGCGAGGAGGTCGAGACAGCGGGTGGTGGGAGCAGCTGCGCGGACGCAGACGATTGTGTGGGATAAAGAACATACGGGTTTGGCGTTGCCTGGGCATACATGCAGTTGGGGAGGGCGTTGGGAGAGTGAATGAGTCTGGAGCCGTAGGGCGGGGCTACCGGCTGAATCACGGAGCTTGACAGCGCCATATTGATATCATCGGCGGAGGAAATATTCCCAAACGTTGCGGCATTCCCAGGGGCCGGAGATGGTGCGACCACACCGATCTGCGCGTTGCCATATTTTTGTCGGCGGCCCAGTCGTTGGCGGTTATCCTCAGCGAGCTTCACCATCAGAGGGATACCTTCACAGGATTCAAATGGGTGGGCGTTATGGAGAGCTCGCACCGCTGCCTCTGCAGCACCATCCTCGTAAAAAAGAATAAACGCGATGTTGCGCTGCGGCGGTGCATGACCGCCTTCAGTGCCCGGAAGGGCCACGGTATCATTATGAATCGTAACGTTGCTGATCGCCCCGTGCGGCGAGAAGAGTTGGCGCAGCTGTTTAGATGTGACGTCCATAGGAATATTCCGCACAAAAAGTTTACGAATCCTTTTCCTATCCTCCCCAATAGGGGTCCCATCATGCTGCTTCTTCGCCCACTGGATGGAAATTGGACGGCCGTACAAATCCGCGCCGTTCAACGTTTTCATAGCCCTGAACGCCTCCTCGTGGTTTTGGTAACGTACAAACGCAGTACCAAGGCTCTCACCGGTATGAATATCGCGCATTAGAGCGAAGGAAGTAATGGTACCGAATGGCTCAAAAATATTTTGAAGTACCTTTTCCGTTATCGACGCGGCGAGCTTGCGAACAAACAGGTTGGTTTGACTGCGAGGGACATCAGGATCTATAGCAACAGATTCATACAGTGGGGGTGAGGATGAGCCAAACTGTGCCTGTGATAATTTGGGTTCAACATATGAGGGAAGAAAATACATGAACTACCTACTTTCTTTTTGTGAGTATTATTTTCCTTTTTTGTTTGTTTCTTTAGTTTCAATTTTGCCCAAAATGTTTTTAGTACACAACAATGAAAAACTAGAAGATCGAATCGTTCTTCTTGTTTACTATTATAAGGATTTGCTTTTCTTACAAGGCTAAAGTTTTGGTCCTCTTGTTTTCCGTGATGATGTATTTTAGACAACCAAAAAGAAATGTATTACAAAAATTTGCCCGTTTTAACAGATGCTGTATAAAAAAATGTAAATATATATAAATATATATTTATATACACCTAAATAAATGATATATGGTATAGTAAAAGGATTCAACTAGTGGATACTAGACTAACAATTCTCTTATGCTCTTATATATATATATCTATATATACCGTCGTTTCCTTTACAGGAAAGCAAAATGAGGGTCAGTGAGAGGATACTGAAAGTAACTTTTTCTTTATTTGTTTCCTTCTCTTTTAAGTCCTTGTCACTGTGTATTTTAGAAATGTGTAAGCCTAATGCAGTAAAAAGCCAACAAACACGCAAACAAACAAAAAACAATTGACAAGCGTGAGCACCTTTGTATTTTTGTATGTGGTGCCGAGTTGACGAATCCCTAATATATACAGTTGTAATTGAAGTCCCCTTTTTTCTTATATCCAACTATGAGAAACGTGTCCTGTGGGTTTCACGAAAAGAGAAAGACAAAAGAAGTAACACTGAAAAATTCAGATTCGTGAATGTTACTAAAGGTATACTATAAATACTACGCTTAGAAAAACGAGTGAACTAATCCTTTTTCTTTACGGAGTAGCCCCCTCAGCTTTGTTCCGTCTCTCGATAGAAATTGAGAGTAGATGAGCGAATGAGTAAAAGGTCTGGAAAAAGGAATTACTTCTTAAAGCAAAATAAAAAGTGATTTAAAACCAACTCGTGAATAGAGCTTAGAATTTTCTCCAAATGTGTATGCTTTATATGCCAAGTTACTGTATTTACCAGTGAAGCATAGCAAAACGCTTGTAGTGAAGGACCAAGCAGCCAAAAAAAGAGACACAATGAAAATCAATGAAATTGAAAGTCTAAGTGAACTTTTTTTTGTAGTCAAAGACGATAAGAATGGTAAAAAAAGAATGCAAAAAAATAGGTTAATGCTATGTAAATTATTCCAATCATTAGAGGTGCATATTTAAATTAAGAGAAGTAAAAAAATAGGGAAAAAACACATTTAGTTTCAACCCTTACAAAGAAGTGTATGAACATTAGTAATCATCGCCATCTGAGAAAATAAGCGAGGCATTGCCGTACTGTTTTTTTTCTGAACCATTCACACCCCGCTGTTGCTGCGATGAACGCAACAGATCCTTGCCTAATAACACATAACACACGAAATATAATGTGTGAAAATCATTCGTGAATAGTGCGCGCCAGAATGAAACATAAAAAATATAAGGCACTAGCAACATCATTAATGTTGCTAACGTTAGCTCTAACATCACTTCCATCATTAGGAGTAATTTTTTTTTCACTACTTCCCTTTTTTTCAAAGGTACATGTGCCGTGTTTTCGTCGTTGAGATCTAACCCCGGTGCTTTATGAGCCACGGGTGTTGGAGCACTTGCTCCATAGTCGGGCGCTCGTCCGGAGACTTTTTCAACATACTCAAAATCAAATTTCGAGCGAGGGGGGAAATCTGGACCGTCGCCTCATCCTGGGCTGTGGCGGCCGCCGCGAGACCACTCCCTCCCGCTGGCTTTTCCTCGTCCATCTCACGATGCGCGCTTGTCGGTTTAGGGCAGGATGGCGAGCGGCGGCCGCACAAATTGGGCGCCTGGGTGCGGATCGCCTCCAGAGTCTCCTGCTGCGAGGCGTGATAAAAGGGTGGTTGCCCGGTGAGCATCTCGACAATCATCGCGCCAAGGGACCAGACATCCGTCTTCGCCGTATGCGGTTGCCCGGAGACCATCTCCGGGGAGAGGTAATCGAGCGTCCCGCAGACGGTGAGGCGGGTTCCGGGCGGTGCCGCCGACGCCGCGCTCTCCCCGGATTCGCTACGGCGCGACTCCACCTCCGCCTCCGCCTCCTCCGCATCGCGCCGTGGCGGCTGCCACGCCCCTTCGCCTTCTCCTTCTCCTTCTGCTCTTCCCCTTTCTCTCTCTCGCCTGTCATTGTCGGAGCAGACACTTCTCGACCAACCGAAGTCCGCGAGCTTGGCGACGCCGCGCGCGTCGAGGAGGACGTTCTCCAGCTTGAGGTCCCGGTGGGCAATGCCGTTACGGTGGATGTGCTCCAGCGCCCGCGCGACGTGCCGAGCGTAGCGGGAGGCGTGTAACTCATCCAACCGACCCCCCGCGGACGCGCGTAGTCGCTGCAGGATGGTCCCCCCTGGACAGAGCTCCAGCACCAGGTGGATGTATCGCGATGTGACGTAATAACTGTACAAGCGCACGACGTTCGGATGACGCAGTTTGCGGTGAACGTTGATCTCCCACTGAAGCTGCCTACTCATGCGATTCCGCCGCAGATGGAAACGAGAAAGCTCCTTCAGGGCGAAAAGACGACCCGACGGCAGGTGAGTGGCGCTCGTGACGATGGAATAGCTACCTTGCCCCAGCACCGCCTCACGGCGGAAATCCTGATCGCTGAGGTCCTTCTGATGGAACACCAAACTAGGCAACAACGGCGATGGGTGCATCCTATGCGTTTCCTCGGAATCACTGCCCTGGGTCGTGTTGTGGGAGGCCAGGGGGTCGTTGCATCTCAGCTTCCCGATGTCGTGAGAAGGTTGTTGCGCACCTCTTGGGGGCGCCGCGGCGTCCAAGGATTCATACCCCATCGACTGGGGCAACGTGAGGGGATCGGTGACGCTGCAGGTAGCGACAGCTAGGGTATCGGTTCTAGAAGGGGATAAGCAAGATCTCGGCAAATGCAACCCCGACGGGTGTCTGGTCATCAGGGCTGTGGGTGCTGTCAATCCATGATGATGACCCTGATGCGTGTTGCTCTGTGTTCTACCACTGGTGACAACTATGGCCTCCCTCTCGAGTGCTTCTTCTACCCGAGGTCTTTTTGGATGATGCTTTTCCCTGTCAAGATGACGCGCAGGAAGTTTTGATAACATGCAAGTTGATGAAACAGGTGATCGCTGAGTAGAGAATTTGACAGCTGTGCTGAGCAACTTGTCATTGAGAGGACTTTGTCTTTCACTCTGCATAGTTGAGCTCAACGAAGTCTGTGGTATTTATTAGACTATGTGGTTTGAATCATAAGTAGTGTGTCTCGTTGATCCAAACGAGTTTCTAGTATAGCAGAATGAAATGCAAAGTTTCTCTTCAGTATGTATAATAATCGTATGTATTGTTGTCTAGCTTGAAATTCAAAAATATTTAAGCATACTCATAAAAGTTAGAATGATGTAGAGCAAACACTCCCCTCTTGAGAATCTACATATAAATCTATGCAAATAAAAACATTATCTTATTGTTATGTATGTATATAGATTAGTTTGCTGTATTTTTTCCGAGCAAATTGTCAAACAGTCATCATAGCCCCAACATGCTGACACGAAATTTATGCGAAAAAAACAAAGAAAGATGCAAACACAATGAGTTCGACTCATATTTACCTTACCCCAAGGTAAGGAACCTTTTCCAATCTTTTTCATCGAGTCTTTTCATATTGCTTTAGTTTAACCATTCACGAAGATAAAAACATTGTTTCGGATCTAGTAATCCATTCTCAGATACGGAACAATTGGACAGCTGTGGACACCCTAAGCAGGGAAACCCTATTGCTGGCATGTAAGCCCATCCGGTTGTAGCGCCACAACCATCATCCGGTGCGCCACGGCCGATATCTTCGTCACCACTGCTATAATGAATGGGTTCAGAAGTAAGCCCCGCCGAGGGCCGCGACACACACGCCGGCTCCCACTCGCATTCTTCACTCATCCGTGAATATAATTCTACATTCGTTGCCACATCATCACCCAGTCTGTAGGAACGTCTAAAAGGGATCGCCGAGTCGTTGGAGCTGTCTTCCTCACGCTTGACCCCTTTGCTGATCTCTTGACGTTGCCTCTTGTCTCGCCTTGAGGGGTGCTTCCGAACACAGGTAAAGTGGCGAATGACGTTATGGCCGGTAGCCAACCGATAGACCGGGGCTGCATCCAAAGTAGCCCGAGCATCATCGAATACACCGTCTAAAACCAAGGACTGGACCAATATCTCCACATCGCGTGGGGAGATGTGCCGGTCTGTCATCACCGGCGGTGCCGAAGAAGGGCTGGAATTGTGGTGACGAGACTCAATGAGGGTGATTGGGCTTTCGGGAGTTCCACTGTTGATCTGGTGGCTCTGTCCGACGGTGGTTTCGCCCTCAACAAAGTGAATAATCTCCTCCATTGTCGCGGAGCGCTTCTGGAAGACGTACGCGACCATACGCCGCCGAAGCTCATCCACGTAGGCCACATCTAACTCCTCGCCACAGTAGAGCGTTCCTCCCGTCACGCCCTCGGAAGGTTCGATGTGAAACATCAGGTAAATACGCTTGGCGCGGTTGGCAAACGATCGCCGCTCCTGTATATGCTTATGGGCGAGAAGCGTTTGCAATGCTTTGAGGACGTCCATCCGGCTCATTCGAAGCCTAGAGGCGATTTGGGCCTGATCCACCCCGGTGCTACCGCTGGCGCGTATCATCCCGAGTACGAGGGAGACACTCTCACTGAGGTTGTTCACCAAGGAGAGGTAGGCGCGTGTGTCCGTGGCGCCCCCAGGGCCCGCCGCGCCGTTCCCCCGACCGAGCCTCACCTGGCGGCTCTCAAGCAACTCCCTAAGGGCGGAGGAAACGATCTTTGGGTCCGCCTGGAGCCCCTGCTGGACCTGCTCCAATAACACAGCCTCTTGTCCAGCGGAGGCTAGGGTGTGCAAGATCCTTTTCTTCACCTGTTCAATACTGGCATCTGGGGATAGTGACGACATTATTGATTCTTTGTATATTAACACCCTTTCTATGCATACTCCAAGCCTTCACGCACGATAGGGTCAAAATGAGAGCACCATGAAAAGCGCTCATAAACAAAAAATAATGCGCAATGCAGGAAAAGAGAAATAGGTTTGCCATCTTTCAACCTACATGAACACGAAGAGAAATGTTGTGAGAATAGAGACTGTACTGAATCCTCGTTACACCGCCTTATATTCGCGTTATTCTATTTTTTTATATTTCTTTTAGCCTCTTGGATTACCGTTGAATTACGAAATTATATATATATTCTGACCTCTCTATCAGTGGATGCTTAAAACCATAAATGTGATGCCATACTTCACGCTATTCGTTCTCGATAGCACACAAAATTCATCGACAGAAAGAAAACTAGCTATTTATACGCACGCACACAACAGAATCAGCTAAACCCCGCCCGCTGATGCTTCAGTGTCTTCTTTCAATTTTGAGTACCAATAAAGGAATTTCTTCGTTAAGGACGTCTAGGAGAAAGCTAATTGTAGAAGAGGCAATTGGGTTCACCAAATTTTTTCGTATTGGTATGTGTGTACGTAAATGCAAGCAAGTAAGCAAGTGAAAACAGCTGACCCTGCTTCTTTGTTGATATACAGCATTTTTCTTCTGCGGAACTGGACACTCTTTTCAATAACCATAGAAAGCAAAAATCATTGAAATTTATATTTTCAGAGCATACAATCTATCAGCATTTTTTTCAGGGGGAATTCCCTTAAAAATAAGCATATCCATCGAAAATAAAAGAAGAGAGGATTGTTATATTGTGAAGACAGAGAGATTGATGCAATAGTGATTCTTTTTGGCCATATCTTGTACCTCAGTATCCACCTCAAAAGAGGCTATATCATTTTAAAGGGTAAAAAACGAACGCTCAATTGTGAATTCAAAAACAGAAAAAAGCATAGTGATATTGGGAAAGCTAATAAGGATCGTGAACTCTGTGCGCTCCAAAAAATACGTATAAACAAGGAATATAAAATACGTAAAAGTAATAATACTCGTGAAGACAACCATTCAGTGTGTAGCAAAGAGTGGTTGATGTGCTCACATCGCTTGCAGAAGATTTTTCCTCAACACATCAGGGGGTTTGTTCTGAATTTATTTGTCGTTATAAATACGTCAAAATATTTCTGTGCTCCCACGTTTTAGGCGTTATCCTAGCAAGGGAATTTCATAAGCGAGAGATTCTTTTTTTACGCTATATCTATTCCACTTTCACCTTTCAAAACTGCACACAAACAAAACACACACACACACACACACGCACGCAGGAAAAAAAGGAAATACACATTAACCTAATTATTAATGATCTCAATATGCTTTTCCCCTTTTTGACAGTAAAGTGAGACCCATATTTTTTCATCCACATCATTTCCCAGCATCTCGTCGTGACCTTTGACTATGAAAGGATCCCAGCGACGATTCCAGCCGCCTTATTAATTGCTGCTGTCAGATCAACAACGTCGGTAGACGGGCTATTCGCAAAAGCTGACAGCGACACGCGTATCTCATGCTCATCGAGGACGTAACCGAGACCGTAGCCATTCGGTGTGGCTGGACCAAAAGAGTAGTACTGTAGCCATGGCTGCGTAAACTGAGACGTCTGCAGCGTAAAAGTATTTATCTGCTTGTATACCGCGTCATTGAAGAAGGCTAGAGCATCCTCATCCTTGTTGTTATCCGCAATGTGCTGCAGGGCCAGGAGATGGCGATCAACACCTTGGCCGCATTTGGCTTCCGCAGCAAGCTCTTCATGGCGACGCGCGGCTTTGTAAACGAACTCCCTTAGCTCCTCCTTCCGCGTAGAGGGTTGCACAGAGGGGGAGCCTTCCGGAGCTGCCGCGGCGATGAGTTGCGCTTTTTCCATTTCTGCCAGCCGCGAAACGAGAGCGAGCATCTCAATTGTGGCACTACGCAATACCTCTGTCGCGCCGTGAAAGAACGACGTGGTCGGGCAGATTTCCGACGTACAGCACAGCTTCTCGTGGTACATGTACCGTGCGAGATGAAGAACGATCTGAACAAACGCATCCGCACTCACCCCCATCTTGGCGAGCTGAGCGCTGCCGTACGGGAGCCCCAACAGACGCACCTCTGTATTACTCACCAGCGCCTTCGCCTCCTGCCGCGCGGTGCGAATGTGCGTCGCGAAGGACTTTCCATAGGTGATGTCGAGGTGGCGCATGATCTGCGTCGCTTGGGCGCCATCCACGCCGCTTGTGGATACGACCCCCGAGGGCGCGTCCGCCGCCAGAATCCCTAGCACGTCGTCGATCCAACGCGCCCAGTGCGCTCGCCCGCCGGTGGTGGACTCCAAATTGAATGCTACTTGCCCATCGGCGGAGACGATAGCCTGGTGCTTGTCGTAACACCGATTCTCTACCTCCTCCGTCCCACCGCAAAGCGCGGAGGCGACCGCCAGGGATTCGTCGCCCCCCCAAGCCTGGCTATCCAGGCAGATGACTAAGATACTTTGATGAAAAAGCCAAAGCAACTCGGCGTTCTCGGCATTGCTGATGAGTTCCTGGTAGGTCTGGCCCCACAACGCACGGCTGCCGGCCGTCAGTACCGTCACTGGAGTGGTGTTATCCTCGTCCGGTGTGATGGAGAGGATCAACTCGAAGGCCTTCTGAATGAGCGCCCTGTCTAGAACCTTTTGGTTATCGTCGAACACCCTCACAAGGTATGGATGGCCGTCGTGCAGCACGATGACGTGGCGAAGCTCGGTCAATGGTGTTGTGTGAATTGCATCCTTCTCCTTCGAAGGAATTAGGCTGCGGCCAAACTCTGTCTCCAGCGGTGAGAGGTCAACATTAGGATCTACTACCTCGACACCGTTTCGGACTAAATTTTCGATCCAGCGTGCTACACCGTATGCTATCGCCGCGGCAACTCCCACCTGCGTTCCATCAGTCCCCTTGATCCCTTTTTTTAGTACAAGACCGGGGTTACGGTTCACCTCCAGCGGAAGCCGGCTGCTAAGCCGTGCATTAGCCATGATAGATTCCACATACGTATATGGGTAAGTGCCGGCCTCGGATGCGGCTTTATCCATCTCGAGGATTTGTTTTTGATAAGCAGGAGCTGAATTCCCCAGAAAGGTTTCAAAACGCAAGAGATGCTGCGCACCGAGCTCACCCTTCTGAAGGGGAATTAACGACGCACGATAACGCTTCGCAGTTGCCTCAAGTGAAGGAATTGGCAGTCTCGGCAAGCTCAAGACATTTTGGGCAAGTTTGACTAGTGGGATGCACTTCATCGTTTTGTGAGACTTTGTATTGAGAGAAAAAAAGCAAAGGGTTGTAATGTGAAGAAATGTATGCGTGTTTGTCGCTTAGCGAAATAACCAAACGGGGAAAGAATCCTGTTTCTGCGTCTCTCCTTTTTTATTTTCTATTCTTGCCCTTCTGTATGTGTGGTTTACGACCTGATAAAAAAACGTTTAAAGGCGTGTTCTTCTTCGACACCTTGCGTTATGTAACCTTGTATAATCGGGGTTATGTATAGATCTGGTAGGTTTGTTTATGTATTACTTGCACGAGCTTCTCCTATTTTATTGTATAAGGTATTGCTCCCTTTTAAAGGGGTGAGAGAAAGAAAAAGGTTTCTTTTTGTGAATATTTTTCTTCTTGGTATGACAGATAAAACAAATTTGGTATCAAAGGCAATCCAGGAAAGCTTTGAAGATTCCTTGAACCCAAAATTTTATATAATAAATAAAGATAAATGGCTTAAGAAAAGAGTGAGAGGAAAAAGAAAGAATAAAGTGTAAACACTTAATGAGTGTGAAAGGCCACTTTTTAGGAATCCGTTCCCACCATATTGCTCTTCCTAAGTTCTCAAAAGATGTGAAACACAAATCACCCCTTCTTTATTAAAGGAGCACAATTTCACATCGTTTGTGATGACTCCTGCACAGACACGTAGGTTAGACTTTATAAATTGTAATAATGAATCGAATGCAAGGCCACCTTCCGTACGTCTATTTATTCCTAACAATCAGTTTATGCAAACAAAGCTTTGCAACCATAAACAATAACAATAAAACAGGACTGCACCCATACCTTTCCCCTCGGTTTACCCCCACCTCATAGCCTCACGCTCTGAATTCAGCCTATTCCATAGACGCCGCCGCCACGGATGTTTCGTAGTGAGATATCTGACCCATAATGCAGTCAAAGGTGTCATCGATGTCCTCATCCTCCCAGTCATCCTCCCAAGACTTGGCAACCTCTTCTTCAAACTGGCCGCTGATTTGGCGCGCGCTTAGTGTACGCATGGAGCCTCCACTTCCAGGCACAAACGACCCCCCGGTAGGGATGTCCGGTTGAAAGCTCTTGAAATCGTTGAAGGCGTCATCGGTTTCGTTATACCAGGCTGACCACACTTCATCATTCTTTGGAAGATCCAGCACGGCATATGCCGTCTGTAAAATGGACATCGGATTTGCGTTATTGAAGGTATTAATCTCTACGCTTTTTTTCTTCTGATCTTCCCCCGCGACAGAAACCTGCTCAGTAGCGTGTAAATCAGCTTTTTTGTACATCCTGCTCTTCTATCACTTGCTTTTATTGTAGTAGTAAAAACAATAGCTATACTAAGAAACTATAATAGTAAGCGTCAAACCCTCTTTAAAACGTAAAATATATACACTAAAGTGAGTGTGATAACGTGCCTCAAAAGAACTATATGCACCTCTTTGTCTCACTCAAGAAAACGGATGCGAGCGAATGAAATGTCAGGGCATTACTAGAATAAATAAAGCGTTTACTTCCTGATTTATATACGACTATTTCAGACTTTGAAGAATACTGATTAAGCATTCCAATTCATCGTTACTCTTCTCGATGGAGACAGTGAATTTTTCCAACCACGAAATCCCTCCCGAATTGTGTATATCACCTTACGATACATACACTAATCAATAATACGCCAAGATGCCTAATCGTAAAGGCGATAACCGAAAATACATCAACGGAGGACCCATGTCTTTTCTTTCAGATTCCTCCCTTTGTTAGTGATCTGTTTGTATTTATAACCTAGTGGTATAGTAACTCTCGTTGTAAATATCACTTAATTCTCTTTTACCATTTGTGCAGAAGTATTTCATAGCCCGACAGCCTGTCAATATTTATGTTCGTGATTATTAAAAATACACGCAAAAGTATCCTTATCCCCGTATGGCATGATAATGCATATTCATTTTTAATTATCCAAATTTCCACTTGGAGCATTTACTTTATCAAATGTTTTGTACTTTTTTCGCACACACAAGAGTGCAGAAAGGAGAAAATCACCTCACGCCTTGAGACAAAAATGTAGTACTAATCTTAACAGAATAGTAGGGGGGCCACACAAAATCAATTGAGGCCATCCACGGCAGTGGATGACTTCTTCACAGGCGGCCAAAACATCTCACATTTTGCACACTCAGCGTTCGGATTTACTTCACTAGTTTCAATAAGAAATACACGTCCCCACTTAAGAAGTTGAATCTAAGAATGTTCCAGAATTCATTCCCTGCATTTTGCACATTCTTCGCATGCCGTCTCGACCTTTTGGGTAAGATACGGCTCCCAACACCGTGCCATGCACTCTGAGTGTCTCGCAATGGCATTGAGTGAAGCACCATAGGCGGTCATTAAGTGATTCATAACTGAAAGGCCGGTCCCTCTTGTAGGTGGGAAAATTTTCTCGATATTCGTCGGCTTAACGATGTAGTTCCCATTGCGGTCGATTTTAACCTCGATCCCAACGTGGTGATCGCAGAATATCCCCATAGTTGCTACGAGGTCGCTCTCATTTGTCACGTGAAACGTTCTAGGGACCGCGCGATTGTAAAGTCGGCAAAACAACGCATTCCCAGTACGAGGCGTACCATAGCTATACACCGTAACCTCTGGGATGGGGTATCTTATGCGCTGGAGCTCACGCGTTACCGAGTACGCACAGAGAGACGCCAACGCCCCGCCCAGACTGTGTCCCGTGGTGAAAACACGATAAACTGTGTCGGGGTCAGTCCGAAGAACTTCGAGAATTTTCGGGATTATAACCGGCCTCATGGCCTTCCATATAGTGAGGAATCCGCCATGGCAAGTCGGCTTCCACATCCGCCCGAGGAAGGTACACCCTGCCAAGGCGCCGCTGTTGAGCTTGGTCATGAAGGAATCTTGATTACCACTGGCGTTCATGGCTTCAATGTCCTCTACCATCTCATCCCATACCATGTGGTTAACATTCATGTCGTCTCGCGCGTTGCTCCAGTTGGCGGTGCCGCGCAAGGCAATCACAACGCGCGGGGCCTTGTATAAATGCTGGCGGGCATTCGTATCGATCTGCGCAATGAGAACTTGCACCTCCTTGATCTGCGTCACCATAATCGGCTTGTAGCCGTACTTCTCAACGTTCATGGGAAGTACTCGGGCGTTTAAGTGTGCCCTTTCGGAAACTACCGGTGACGTGGACGTTTCAGGTGCGATTGTCTCCTGCTCATGATGAATGGAATGGTTGAAATCGCTGAGAGCCCCCACTTGTTCCACAGTCGTTTCGCTTTGGATTCGCTCCTTGACGTCATCGGTCTCGAGATTTGTCGAAGCCGGATAGCTCTCACCAGGACATTCCGTGTGGGCATCCTTTTCAATGACAATTTTTGTCTCCGATGCGGACTTCGCTCGGGTAAGAAAGGCTGGTAGAAGCTTTTTTTCATCTTTGGGGTGTGCCACATTGGACATTGCTGGATTCTCCGTAACAACGTGCTCATGGCAGGCTTCACAGGCCTCGACAGTCTGTTCTCCGACGAATTCTGATTCTTCTTGAGCACTGCCGGCGCGATTGATCGCATGGTCGGTACCATCTGGACCTTTATTCGCGCTCACTGACCCCGGGAGTTTATCTTTTTTATTGGAAACCTTTATAGAGGCACTAAAGGGTCTGAAAAGGCTCTTTAAAAGACATAAAATCCGTTGAAACGCGCTGCTCAGGTCTGAGCGATTATTCATCTCTACACATTCAGCGATGTGGCTCTCCTCGATACGGTATACCTCCCAGGATAGGTTGAAGCAATCAATAGCCGTCTCGAGATTGAAGAAAGGCAAGTAGTTGATACCCTCAAAAGGTTTATAGAACGCGTTCACCATAATTTTCTGCAATTGGTCAATGTGGTACATGGGTCGTGTGAAGAGATTCCGCTCAGCCACACCCACCAGCGTGTTTATCCCAATGTGAACCTTGTGCATGGCTTTTCGCAAGGTGAAACGGTTGCATTCAGACCCCGTATGAGTAGCATTACCGTCGAAAGATTGTGCTAAATACATCTCTTTCGGGGTGTGAGCCGAGCAGCTTCTCCACGACTTCCTCGCCCCGTTTGTGAGTATTGACGTGGCGTCGCAGTCATGTGAACGCTCCCGCTTGTGAAGTCCTCGCCACTCAGACGATAAGTATCCAGTAGGCGCTGATGCGATATCAGACACCTGGCTGGGGGATCTCGACCTCACCAGCGTGCGCATCGCAAGAGCCACGGACTGAATTGACGATACATTTCTGTTTGTCGCGGAGGGTTGAGGGGAATACCCCTCCATGCTTGACGGCGTCCCTGCCCCGCGACCTTCGGAGGACACCAACACAAGCCGAGTGCATGGGGGCTGGTTTGAGGTTAATCCAACATTTCCTCGAGGGAACGCTCGCTGTGTGCTCCTTTCTAAACGTGAGAGCCGCTTGGCCGACCCATTCAGAGTGCATCCCAGCCCGGGAACTGGTAAGCTCGATACCTGCGGTTCAAAGACCCGTACTGAATCGGCGGCTTCGCTGAGAAATGGGGCCTTGTCACTTTGCGCCATAGCTCGTCTTGAACGCGTCAGCAACAAAAAATCATCTTCGGGTAATTCTGGCAAGTAAGAGCTGCTGAAGCGGTCCATGTGAGCTAATCCTTTCGCAACGTTCCCTCCACGGGTGGCGTTACGCGGGTTCAAGTCCTCTTCAAGAAATCCCACCTTTGATCCCACCCTTGAATGATACTTGCAAGAAAGTTTGGGTGAAACTGAAAATCCGTAGGGTTGGTTACCCTGCTCGCTCTTTAACGCGCCACTAGTCACCTTTGGTAAAGTATACTCATGAGGGCTATTATTGTTTTGAATGCATATAGGCACCTCCACCGTCTCTAAATTAGGGTGGTGATCCTTTTGTAAACGGTGCGGTTGAGGCTTCCTTGAGGTGTCCATCTTTGATGAGCTCAGGATTGCAAGTGTATCCCCGTTTTGCTTGACTTCTTCCCCATAAGGGTGCGAATTGGCTAGCTGAGGGTCAGGAGAGGTAACATCATAACGATTGTTAGGACCGATGAAACCCTCCCGCTGATTCCGTCGCCGTAACTGAGACTGCTCTGCACTTCGTAACGCCAGGTCTGAGGTGGTTCGTGCAAGGGTATCGGACCGCTGTCCGTCTTCTCTAGTGTAATCCTTTCTCTTCTTCAGTCGAGCCATCAACTGGCGCTTGTGAAAATCAAGTTGCCGCGTGTAAAAATTAGTTTCTTGGCGTTCGGTAAAGAATATATACTGACTCCCACCGTGCCGAGCAAGCCAGGTATGCCACGTGTTTGGCCACACCATGAGCATCCACCGCTGATCATTCGGATGAATTGGAATGTTTTCATCTCGATGTTGAGTAGTGTAGACAAATGTCATGATATTCACAAAAAGTGTGTTGAGCGCCAATGAGGTAAGATGTGTGAAGGGATAATGCGGATTGGTAACAGGATAATATCGGCTTATATACGCATAGAGCGTAATGAAGTTGATGATATAAAATAGGATAATAAATAGAAATATCATGAGAAACACACAGCAAGCAAGCTGCTGGGGTCGGCTTTCAAGGTACGGCTTTTTGCCAAGATGGTTGTTTAAGTATATGAGCAAACCTAAACAAGTCAAGCACCCCAGGATAAGTGCAAGAATATTCCATTCGACGTCCTTGGGCTTGACGCTAAAATGTATACCGGCGAAGTCATAGCCGTTGCTACCAAGTGAACGAGCAATTTCGTACACCAACACCAATAAAACGTAAAGAATGGCGGCAGCCTTCGTCCAAAATGGTGGGTCGTAGAGGTTTTTGCTACAGAAAAAAAACTTGAAAAGATTCGTTCGCCAGCTCCTCCTCCGTATGGTACCATCGAAAGTAAGGCTCTCTTCCTCGCTGTCCTCTGAAATATCTTTCTCCTTAACCGCTTTGCGGGTGTCAGTGCGCTGTCGCCAAAGCATGGAAGCAGTCATAACGGAGTACATGAAGCCCAGGTTCATCGCTACGAAGCAAGTCGGAAGACAAATGTCGAAAAATTTCAGAATGTCAGAAGATGGATGTGGCGATAAGCTCTCGATATAAAGCGGGTTCAAGTAAAAAATCAAGAAGATTTGCAACCCGATAATCCAACTCTGTTCATATAGATGGCTTGTGTGCTTGCGATACGCTGTGAACCTTAACATATGTAGAAAAGAAATGGCTATAAAACTGTATCGACAAATAGCTGTAACGACGGTGTAGGTCTGTCGCTCGAATACGATCCCAATAGCGGTTGATAAGCCCGTCCCATTCACCCCACCTGTCATCGCGCTCATCAGCTCCGGAGAGAGTTCAGGGAAAAACAAGCGCTGAAGAGGAAACTTTACTCCACCCGGAAGCTTCAGCACGTCGCATAAACTATTTTTTTTATTGCAACGAAGCGTCATTTCAACGGGTCCCATAACGACCGAATCTTGGGCATCCCCTGAGATTACCCCTATGTATTCGTTGTAGTGCACCACCTCACCAGACTGTGTGGGGAGTCGTGGCACACTCACCACAATATGGCGTAGCTCGTAGAATGGGGTGATACGATCCTCCTGAAGGTTAGGAGTCCATGTCACGTTGAAATATCCGGGCTTGGAAGACGAGGGTTGGACTTCGAAACAAAGGCTATTCCACTTATTCAGGTTTCTCAAACTTACGCTCTCTGAGTTGCAAATGTTCAACATCTCCCACCGCAATTCCGGAACCATGTCGATTGCGACACATAAGAGAAAAGTGAAGTACCACAAAAAGAGCATGAAGCGGACGCAAGGTCCAGAAATCGACTCGATCTGAAGCTCCACGGGCTCGGATATATAAAAAAAACGATCAGTGTGGAGGTTCTGGTCGCACAATAGCTTCGTGGTCGAAGGGCCCTTTCCATGACGCTGCGTTTGCGGAATGTCATGCCGATCCCTCTGGTCGTGCCCCTGCTCGCCCTGCCGAGCATCCCGCAGAAAGAAGACGTCCGAAGTTCCTGAAGCATGTACTTCGTGATTCTTATTTATGTTAGAATGCGGAACGCTTGAGGGGTCACGTGTACACTGTGAATCGGGTGAAAACCTAGTACTGGCGGAAAGAAACACGGACGCGTCTTGCGCGGCGCGAGAAACGTGCGTAGTGTTGTTGACGTGCCGTGGACACAACGACCGCTGCACAAACTCACGGCCCCTCTTTGAAACGTGAAAAGGTAATAACTGAGAGGTACCTGTAAGAAAAAGCTGTCGGTATGGGGCACGCGGGATGGTACGGCGAGCAGGTTTTTTAGTTCTTTTTTTACTCTTATTTTGAGAATGACGCGCATTGCCGTGTGGCGGCGTAGATACATTGAGGTTCGTGAGGAAACCCTGTGGTTGTATTCCATGCGTTGCATCCCGTTCTGCGTGCATTACATAGTCTACAATGATTTGACTAGTGGAAAGGTGAAGATGAGAAAAATATCTTCCTTCTGCTGTGTTTAGGTCTTAGAGACGAAAATGGGATCAATTGGACGTTAGTTTCTTAAATCAGCCGCTGAGTGGCCGGGTTTCAAAAATATGCATACTTCGAGATTTATCGAAGCAAGACATTTATATAAATACGTATTTTAAAAATAAAAGATCAAATCGAAACAAATTACAGCTCTTCTAAAAAAAACTCATTGTTATGTGACGATGGATAGAAATCCGTGTACTCCTTGCGTTTCTCAAATTCAGGACATTATTCCTTTTCAATCGTCAATATACGCACACGAAAAGACATTAAATAGGGAAATTTCCGATGAATAATTATATTGAATGCCGCGAATTAAATAAAAAACTATTCTAGTGGAGTTCCTTCCACTCGTCTACCACATGAGATTTTTCTATTGCTTTGAAGCATATTTGCGTGTTGGATTAGTATATCTCGCGGGTATTATACCTTTAATAATAGCAATAATAAATATAAAAAGTGTAAGCAAAAGCTGCAGTTTTCCCAGTATGAAATGTGTCGCGGAGCGTCGCCTTACTACGCTAATTCCTTACACTTTACCTGACGTCATTTCACCTTTTTTTATGACGGGGTCGCGCGCTTGACAGAAAACGATAGTTTTTGCTGGGATTCATTGTAAGTTATGCGCACGTGGCTGCTCGGAGGAAGTTCTTGCGCAATAATCATCCGACTCAGCTCCGTCGTAACGTGTTTTTCGAGCCATCGGCGCAACGGCCTCGCACCCATATCAGCATCAAATGCGCTCTCAATAATATACTGCTTGGCTTCAGTCGTAATGGTAACATGCAGCAACTGCTCTTTCAGGCGCCCGTTAAGCTCTTCAATGATGAGATCAATGATGCCCTTCATTTCATCGAGACCAAGGGGACGGAAGAGGACGACATCGTCGATTCGGTTGAGGAGCTCAGGTCGGAAAAACTGCTTCACTTCGCTCATGACCTTTACTCGTGCGGCCTCGTACGCATGGGGGGAGGATCCGATGTGATGGAGATAGGCCGTTCCCAGGTTGGAAGTCATGATCACAATCGTGTTGCTGAAGTCCACCGTGCGCCCATGCGAGTCTGTCAGCCGCCCGTCATCCAAGAGCTGCAACAGAATGTTAAACACGTTCGGGTGCGCCTTTTCGACCTCATCGAGCAGCACCACGGTGTGCGGGCGCCGACGCACCGGCTCCGTGAGCTGCCCTCCCTCCTCGTGTCCAATATACCCCGGTGGGGCCCCGATCAGCCGCGCCACGGAGTGCTGCTCCATATACTCGCTCATGTCGATCCGTACCATGTACTTTTCACTGTCAAAGAGCTCCCTGGCGACAGTCTTGGCGAGCTCCGTCTTGCCGACGCCGGTCGGCCCGAGGAAGATAAAAGAGCCAGAGGGGCGGTTCGGGCGCGAGAGCCCTGCGCGGGATCGCAGAATCGCGTCCGCGACGCGCTCCACCGCCTCATCCTGCCCCTTCACATAGCGGTGGAGGTGATCAGCGAGCTTCAGCAGACGCTCCCGATCGCTTTGCTTTAGCTTGTCAACGGGGATGCCGGTCCAGCGCGAGACCACAGCGGCGACGTTGGCTTCCGATACCGTCGCCTCGACAATGGACTTTTGGGCCTCGATCTGCTCCTTCAAGCTTCGAATCCGATCTTGTAGGAGAGGGATGGCGTTGTACTTGAGATCTGCCGCGAGCTCCATGTCGCCGTTACGCATCGCTCGCTCAAGCTTCACACGCATCTCATCTAGCTTTGTCTGCATCGTCTGCAGCTCGTCGATTCGGCCCCGCTCTTGGTTGTATTTATCGAGCAGCGGGCCGAGCTCTTCGTCAACGCGCTGCAGTTCTGCCTTGACCTCCTTCAGCCGCTCCTTCGAGGAGCTGTCTTTATCCCGCTCCAACGCCTTGGCCTCGATCCCAAGCTGCCGCTTCTTCCGCTCCAGCGCGTCCACCTCGGGCGGGCGCGAGGAGAGCATCACCCGGACATTGGCGCAGGCCTCGTCGATGAGGTCGATTGCCTTGTCGGGCAGGAATCGGTTGGTGATGTAGCGGTTCGCGAGCTGCGCCGCCACGACTACGGCTTTGTCGACGATCTGAACGCCGTGATGCTGCTCGTAGCGCTCCTTCAAGCCACGCAGGATGCTGATGCATTCCTCCACGGAGGGCTCGTTCACGTACACCGGCATGAAGCGTCGCTCAAATGCCGCGTCCTTCTCAACGTGGGTGCGGTACTCCTCAAGGGTGGTCGCGCCGATCGTACGGAGCTCGCCACGGGCGAGAAGTGGCTTTAGCAAGTTCGCCGCATCCATCGCCCCTTCGGCCTTGCCTGCGCCCAGCACAAGATGAATCTCGTCAATAAACAAGATGATCTTATCCTGGCTCTCTTTCACCTCGTTCAGCAAGGCCTTCAGCCGCTCCTCAAACTCACCGCGGTACTTGGCTCCAGCGACGAGAGCACCCATATCCAAGGCAAAGATGCGAGTCGCAGTAAGCGTGTCGGGCACCTCGCCGCGCACAATCTGCTGCGCAATCCCTTCCACTATCGCCGTCTTACCAACACCAGGCTCACCGATTAACACTGGGTTGTTCTTGGTTCTTCGGGAAAGCACTCGGATCGTACGCAGGATTTCGTCCGCACGGCCTATGACGGGGTCGAGCTTACCATCCTCTGCCTGTTTGCACAAGTCATAGGCATACTTGTTGAGAGAGTCGTAGTTCCCTTCCTGGAATCCAGATTCGACCTTCTTGCCTTTACGCAAGTCCATTAAGGCGTTGCGGATACCCTTCTTGCTCGCGCCGGCAGCGTCTAAGATTTTGCCGACCTCTTTGCATTCGTGTAGCGAAAGCAGGAAATGATCAAGAGCAATCAAGCTATCTCCCAAAGCGACGCGCTCCTGTTCCGCCGTGTTGAACAAGCGCACCATTTCCGAATTTGGCTTCAGCATCGTTGGTATCGGGTACTGTGTTGGGATAGCTTCAAGTCGCGCCTGTAGCCCCTCCTTGACGGACGCTGCGTTCAGCTTACGAAGTACACGCGTCGGAAGTTCATTCTCATCTTCGAACATAGCGCAGGCCAAATGAACGGGGTCAAGGTAGCCATTGCCATGGCTGCGTGCGAGAGCATTGGTGCGCACAATCAGATTTGACGCAGCTTGCGTCCATTTTTCATTAGCTTCATCAGATGCCATGATCTCCTGTGATAGAAATCGGTTTTCTTCGGTTTCGGTTTTTGCTTGAAGTGCAAAGGGTTATCGATATAACACACGAGATCAAACTTTGAGGTTACGATCAAATGCAATGCAAGCTTCGATTTATCGTCTATATACTTTTATAATATTAATAATAATGTCAATAATAATAATAATAATAATAATTATAGGGATAATATCAACAAGCTTTCAATAAAGAAAGAATATAATACAATTACCACTTCTTGAATTTTTGGAATAGATGCGAAGAAGGTGTGTGATATTTGGAAGCTTTGGATTTTTTTGACTGAATGATCTTGAGTAAAGCGGAAAAAATCATTTATAAGGGCAGTAGGAGGAAAAGTAAATGACAACTAGAAAGGGATTCCATAATTCATTTGTTTTTGTTTCCTCAATTGAGGCAAAGTAATGAGTTATAGTTTTCTTTGAAGGGCAGAAAGCAAATAGCTGTCAGCATAAAAAAAAACAAGCAAAGTAATATATTAAATGCGATTAAACAAAATTTGAGAAAACTAAACGAACCCCTGACTTCATAACATTGTATAAATAAAAAAAAGCTAAAGAAGAAAAAAGAAAAAAATCACAGCCTTCCTTTGTGAAAGTAGCGTTGCCACTCACACATCTCCATCTTTGATCCCCGATAGTGGTAGTATACCACCCGTGATATTGCCCTCGAAACCTTTCCTTTCATCACTGCTTCGTTTGTCTCCATTTGGTATGGGATAGACGTATGATGCAATGCATCTCACCGAGCACGCGGCAGGTGCATGGCGCTCCGCGATTGCATTCAGAGAACTCATGTATGCTTCCATCGTGTGGTGCTGCACCGCAAACCCCATGCCACTCGTTGGGCGAAACGTGCGCTCCACCATCGTCGGGCGACAGACGTAGTTTCCACGACGGTCGATGTCGACCTCGATCCCGACATGATGCCCGGAGAACACGTTGAAGTAGGAAACTACGTCGTCCTCGTTCACCACGCGGAAGGTACAGGGGACGGCGCGGTTGTAGACGCGCTGGAAGGCCCGGTTGGTGAAGCGCGGCTGCCCAAAGGTATACACGGTAATGTCCGTGTTAGGGTAGTGAACCAAGGATAGCGCACGATGCAAGCTGTACGCACAAAGACAAGCGAGTGCCCCACCCAGACTGTGGCCCGTTGTATAGATCGCGTAATACTTCTTGGTCCCAGGAAGGGGATATGGCCAGTTTGTGTCAATAGGGACAGAGCTTCCAAACGACGACGCACGTGATGGGCTTTTCGCACCGCTGCCATGGTTGTCCTCGTGCAAAGTACTGTAGTTGCCCTGGTGAACACGTCCTAGGGCCATCAAAACTGTGCCGAGGACTCTCTCCTTGAGCGACATCCACAACTCCAAGATACCACTGTGGACACGGGCCCGTGGGTTCGACATCAGAGCGCCGGTCTCCATCTCCTTCCACACGCGCTTGCGCATCTTCAAATTGTGAAGCGCATTCATGACATTGTGGGTGCCACGGAAAGCGACCATGATTCGTGGGACCTTCCCAGTGTGATGGGCGAGGGTCGTATCTAATTGGGTGATGATTACCTGCATCTCACGAACCTCAATCACAGCCAACCGCTTGTATCCAAAACGCTCGGGGCAAAACGTGCGAGCATTCCGCATCATAACTTGCGGGTGAAGAGCCTTTGCGGTCGTCGAACATGAATCAACACCAGCAGCTGGACTTCCGCCATTGAGTGCGTATCTTTCAGTATCAGGGGAATTTGTTGTGATGCTTTGTTTTAGCAGGCTATTGACGTGGTCTTGTGAAGGTGAAGGTGAAGGTGGAGGTGAGCAGAGCCCAGTTGCAGGTAGGGCAAGAGTGGAGGGAGAAGTTGACCGGTGGCACAAGGCTGCGCCGGCTCGGTTGCTTATTTTATCTGTTTCACTGCCTCCCAGAATTTCGGGAGCTGGCGTATGGGATGCCTGTGGTGACACTGACAAAGCCGCCACAGCCTCAGATTGTGGGCGGCCCACCACTTCCGCCGTCGCGCTACTTGCACTTCGCCAGTCAAAAAAGTAAGTCAACACGCGTCGGGCGATGCGTTCCGTTGATGAGGGTATCGCCCCCGAAGGTGATAGCTCAACCGTTCTAAGCTCGTCCCCGCCCTCCACCACCGCGTACGCCTCCCAAGAGATGTTGAAGCAATCAATAGCCGTCTCGAGATTGAAAAAGTAGTAACGGTGGTGTGTGGCCCTCCTCTGGTGTCTCTGCCCAGCCCGCAGGAGCACCTGTAGCGGGCGATCTAGCACCCTTCCCCCCATGAAAGAAGGCGTCGAACCGACAAACTCTCCTCCCTTCCGCATTCCCATCGGCAAGAGATGAGGGTCTACCTCACGAAACGACACCTCAGTTGAGTTGTCATTCGAGCCGGCGGATGCGGCGTCTTGGTCGTCCTCCATGTTGTAATTGCTGCTGCTTTTGGAAAGGTTCACATGGCTTCGCGTCAGCGAAGCATTCCCAGCCGCAAAACACGCCGCAGAATGAAAACATCTACTCTTTGCGTCGCAATTCTCCTCGTCGGCGTTGTCCATCAGCAAGCCGGAAGTTTCTGACGGCAAGTCTACGTCATCGTTTTGGTGCTCCTGGCGCGGCAGCACACCACTGCCACGATGATGATGATAATGGTGATGAGGAACTAGGCGGCGGGAGACTTCCCTAATGCTATCCGTGGTACTGGACCGCCTTGCTTCATCTTGAATCTCAAAAAAACGGCGCTCTTCGGCCTCACTAAAAAAAATATAACGACTCCCACCATGGCACTGAAGCCAATGAAACCATCGCTTCGGCCACATGATTCGCTTCCATTCTGGGTCATCAGGGCGAATCGGAACTCGTCTAGAGGTGCGTGTGGTGGTATACACAAAGGTCATGTGATTTACAAAGAAAATGCTTACCGTTAATGGGGAAAGCTGAAGAAGAGGCCGATAATAAGCCATCGTCAGTATCTGTGGGTACAATAGATATACAAGATAAGCCTGGACAAAGATGTATACGAGGCTCGAGGAGAATAGAAAAATAATAATACGCCCAGCCAGTTGCTGCGGTCGGCTCTCAAGATACGACCGTCTGCTAAGGTTGCGCTTCATCCAGAAAAAGGCAACACCTGTGAGAAGAAACCCAACGAGCAACACGGCATGCATAGCGTGGCGAAGGAAAAGGCAGACATGTGTCGTGCAGAATGATTCGGTCCCCCAGCTCCAGTCCTCCTGGAAAGCCTTAGCGATATCCAAACAGACAACGAGTGTGAAGTAGGCCAGTAAGCCAAGACTCACCGATATCGGCGGGGGCACGTGTGCACCGCCAACTGAGTGCAACAAAGGCGCTCCAGCTGCAGTTGCCAAGGCTTCCGTCGTATCGCAAGAGATGGGGTTACGTATGGGCTCGTGTTTACCTCTATGACTCACTCTATTTGGCTCACTACCACCTTCGAACCCCTCAGTGCATCCCTCCTCCTCCTCATCTCTGTCAGAGTCATGTCTGGCAGCACCCCAATCAACTGTGGCAGCGAAGACGGCGAACATAAAACAAAAGAGCAAGGCAACAAAATATGTTGGAATATGGAACTCAAAGAAATTCAGCCATCCTTTTAGCTTGCCTGTAGTGTAAATACCGAAGCCAAAGAGCGGGTTCAGATAAAGAATAAGGCCGAATTGAAGAAAAAGCACACAGTATTGCTCATAGAGCATGCTCGAGTGCCAACTGTGTGATAAAAATCGAACCATCAAAAGCAGTGTGAAGATTATACCACCGTAACGCCAAATCATTGTAGCCATAGTGTAGATCCCTCGCTGATAGATTAATCCAACAAAGGAATCCGAAACGGCCGCATCACCCAGTTCCGCATCCACATCAAGCAACGTCAACGTATACGTTGAGTTCGAAGTAGGCAGCGCCACACTCGGCGGCACCACCACAGTCGCACATCGTGATTCGTCAAAATGGCATGTCACAAAGGTTCGGTATACATATCGCTGAGATGAATTCGAAAGCAACACTAAAGGCAAAGTGGTATTGTATGAGAGCATTTCTTCTAGGAGCACTAGTAATTGGTAGGTGCGGTGCTTAGATCCCAATGGGGTGATGCGTGCCATCGGTGACGCCAAGCTCAATACCAGATGAGCAAAACGATTCAATTTGACGTTAGCAAGGCTACCAAAATTGATTCCCTCCCAACGCAAATAGTAAACCTCCCTCGCGTTTGGTGGACATCTCAGCCCAGCTATTGTGGTATTCATCGTTGTTATGGCCGATGAAGAAAATTGCACTCCTCTAAGATCTCTATTCGGATGAGTTGGCGAGGCTTCCTTTATATCTCTCGTAGTGTCAGCGGGCGAATCCTTAAAGAGCCTATTGTTCTGTGAAGAAGTACTATCTTTATCCTTATGTTTGACATATGTATCCGATTTGACGAAGGTCATTTGTTTTGTCCTAAAACACATCTTCCTCCTCTTCGAGGAGTTTCGACGCGGGATTGTTTCGTTAAGCTTTATCGAACTCGATACCGTCAACGAGGAATCCTGCGCACTTTCCAAAGCGCGTATTTCCGAGTCTTCCGGCACGCATTCGATCAGAGATTTTAAACAAAGACTGCTGTTCCACATACTAAAATTCGTAAAAGAGCATGACTCGGCATCGCAGAAATTCCGCATACTCCACTGAAAGCCTACATATGTCTGTATAACAAGAGAGACGATGAGGACGACATACCAGGAAACGAGGAAGACGCGTGTGGTATTACTTGTCATGGTTTCCACCTGCAACTCCACTGTTGCAGTCTCCTTAACATACCTGCTAAAGTCTTTACGACGTCGTTCATTGTCCTCTATGCGGCTATTTGAAGGTAGCTGAGGCTCAGCATGGCAAATCCTTTCATTGTGATTTGGTTTTTGAGTAGGTAAATTCAGCTCTGGCCCCGATACAATAGGAGGGTTACCCAGGTCATGTGAGGATGCAATGATCTCTGGATTAGGAAAAACAAATTCCGGTTGCTGCTCTTCTATGAGATCCGAAGAACTGTTCATCAACTACGCAATATATATATATGAATATATATGAATATTTAGGCGAGTATGGAAAATGCTTTATATGAATGAAAACAAGAAGTGATGAGAGTTAAGAAAAAGATCCAAGGACTTTAACTAAAAATAAGTTCCAGTGCAAATGTTCTAAGCAACTATAGAAAACTATTTTCGCTTATGATGAATTCAAAGACTGAAACTCTATGGAGAAAAAAATGAGAAGAAAATGGGACCTACTTTGCGTTTTTTTTCTTAAGCATATATATAATCCGTTTATTTATTCAGCCGCTGTTTGTCATTCTCGTATCCTTTTTTTTTAGGCTAACAAATATCACTGCTATTCATTTACCACTGTAAAATTATCTGTTGACTCTTCTCATTTATCATTAATAAATTTCGTTGATTGGAATGGAGCACCTTTACCTGAAATCTTTGTTATTTAGTCATTTGTTTCGGTGATGTCTTTGAAAAATCGAAACAGCTATACTCAATATGCATATACGACCCCAAAGTGTATATATACAAACGTAGATGCAGACGAATGTGCCTCGAATTTTATATTCCCAGTCGAAACAACATGAGAGAGATTTATCTATCTGATAATTTGAATGAGAAAAAAAGAAAAAAGCTTGTAAAGTTTAAATAATTATTTTTTATTCATTTAATAATAATAATAATAATAATAATAGTTTACGTAAAAATATAATTACATTACAGAGTAAATGAAGTGCTTTTCTGAACCCCAAATTCATCTTACTTAAGGGAGCTTACCCTCTCATGGTTGTTAACTACCTTAAGAAAACATTTTGGCGAACATTCGCTTTTCCTGAGCCTTCTGCGCACCAAGGCTCTTCTTGGCTCGCGTGAGCTCTGCGACAACGGCAGGATCATCCTTACTCAACTCCCGCGCCATCTCTAGATCCTTCACGGCTGCGTCAAAGTCCTTCATCGACAGGTACGCCTGACCGCGACGGAACAACGCCTTTGGGTGATTCGGAGACAGCTCCAATGCGTTAGTACAGTTGTTTATTACATTCCGCCACAGCCCGAGCTTCACACTGCATGAGGCAATATTGAGGTGACAAGAGAGAGAGATTTCATTCTTTTTGGTCTTGTTTTCCTCACTGCTGGTGTCGTAAAGCTGACCCAAGATAGCCAAAGCCTGCACAAAGCGCGTCTGCGCCTCTTGCCAGCACTCCTGCTTAAACAAGTTTTGCCCCTGCTCCCGACGCTTTTGCGCCACGCGAAGGCGCTGTGGATCGCTCTTCAGGTCCTCATCCTCCTCCTTCTGCTGCTGACTCAGCTTGATCAGTTCTTCCTCCTTCCTCTTTGCCTCTACCCGGACCTTTTCGTAATACTTCTCAATCTCCGGATGCTTCTCTTCGATGTGCGCTTTGACTTCGACCAGCTTAGCATGGATGATGTCCTTATCATCATTGTTACATTCAGATCGAACGTAGTCGTCGATACCATACAGATATGATCGTGCGGCATCCTTGGTGGTATTGTCGGCATCACAGTGATCAACCGCGTCAAGGGTCTGCAGCACGTATGTATCCAGTTGGTTGATGGCGTCAAGACGTTCGTGGATGAGGGCGTCGGTGGCAGAGAGCTTTGCTTCGATAGCAGCCCACCGCTCCACTGCCGCTTCCTCCTCGGCGGAAAACTGCTTCAGATCGTTCCCCCCGTCTGAAAAATTCAAAAGACTGACTTGATGAACGGGGTGCCGATCGCTGGCACGTACCGCAGACTCTTTCGTTTCTTGGGCTTGCTGCGGCTCACCTACTTCTTCGTTATCCTTACTCTCACATTTTTCATCCACCGAACCCGATGAAAGAGCGACGTGGGTGCGTAACTCCGCGAGGATCGCACTCCCTTCAGCTATTGCCATCACGGCATCCAATGACACACCTAAACGCGAGACCCCCAGCTCTCGTTTAATAAGATCGGATATGCATGGGAACCGCCAGCCTCCACCAATAACCTCAACGCGCGGCTCCGCAACCGTGTTTGACTCCTGCTCCTCGTCTGCTTGTGCAGGGCTTGGGATGATTTTCTTTACTTCCTGAAGCATACCCTGGAGTGCCTCGGTGAATGGTATAGAACGCTGCTCTACAAATGAGCGAGTTATTGGTAGCACGAAATCCGTATCATTCTTTAAACCCTCTAGTTGTATTTTTGTTTCATCAATAGTTGATAGGGTCTCCTTCAATTTCTTGCATTCACGTAAAATCCGTCGGCACGTCTTGACGTCTCCAGACAATTGGCACTGCGGATGCTTCTTTTCGATTTCGTTAACGATATATTCGCATAGCGAGGCGTCAATGAAACTGCTCCCAATGTTGATCGAGTGCACGCCGACTTTTTCTATAGTATTTTTGGTCACAGAGAACACACACGCGCTTGAACTGGCATGCCCTACATCAACAAAGACCACATGGGAGGGAGTTTTCTCATCAAGGTTGCCGTATTGCATGTGGTGAAAGTAGACGGCGACCGCCTCGTCTCTCGGAGCCAAAATGGTCTGCGACTTCGGGATTCCGGATAGGAAACAGGCCTGATGGAGCGCAACAACCGCTGGTGCGGATAGTGCTGGGGGTACCGATAGGCATACCGGATACTGGCCTGTGTAACCACCAGGGACGAACCCGAGGATGCACTTGATATAGTAGCCTGCCACCTGCGCGGGATGAAACTCTGTCTCCCCAATAACTCGTGCGCACAGAGTTCCCTCTGAGCTCTCCGCGGTGCGCTGAGACGTGGACGTGCCATCAGGTACGAATCCCGTGCTCCACCCAAAAAGCCACTGTGCGAGATCCACAACCGTTTCCTTAACTCTCGTGATCTGCTTGGAAAAGGCTGCCTCACCAATACAACGCGCCTCGTTAATGGGATAAGAAACTATGGTGCTAGTCGCCTCGTTGCTGAGATCGTTTCGGACGATGGTGGGCATCGGCTTGACGGGGTTAAGTAGGGCGATGCGCGTCGTAGAGGCACCAAAGTCCACCCCCAAGAACACGCGCTTTTCTGGCGTCTGCAACATTGATTTAATGATAAAAGAGTGTGAATATATATGTGGAAAAGGTTTATTGTGATCCAAAAGAGCTTTGCATAAACAAATATGGAGTGGAAATCATAGTTATTGAAATACATGAGTAGACTATTGTACAAATAAACAGATCAATACATGTGTGCAAATATATAATCATGCGTCGATAAGAGGCCAACAAATCGCTGTTTCAGTCTCGCCCTTTTAAAGAATACTTTTGTTTAATCTTATCTAACTAGAGAACGATGTTAACCCAAATCTACAACGAAAAAAACATATGACGAGAGTATTTTTTTTACAATCAACTTCAAACTGCTAGAGGTAGCTTTCCCTAATTTACCTTGTTTCACACGCACACACATGCCACCAGATCCAATACACACCAACGAGACGCATTTGCAAACCCAATCCTTGAGTCCCCCATCAATCGACACGTGAATCGGGGATTAAGTGTTAAACATGTCAACATACTGCGCTTTTTTTGCAGGGCCGCGCCGTTGTTGCGGAAAAGGTGTCTCTCTATTGGGGCCTTTACTGCCAACCCCGCCAGGGGGCATCTTCGGCGGCCCTGCCTTCGCCAGCGCCTCGCGCGCCTTGTCCTCCTCAGACTGAGGGAACATCCAACGGCCTGTGGCCTGGTCGAACTGAGGCACCGGCTTCGTGTCTAGGATCATCGGCTTGGTCACTTCAGCCTTCTTATGATCCGTGAGATCACCTTTCTCACGGCGGAAAAAACTCATGATAGTTTCGATCGAGCGCGATCGCTTCACTTTACTGGCTTTTGTGTCATCACTTTTCCCTTTGACGTGATCATCGGACGCTTTAGGCGGCGTCATTGAGCTGTAGCCTCTGTTCTTGGGCTGAGGTGGTGGTGTTTGCTCCCGCGTCCCTGATGGTGGTGTAGGCGGTGATTTAGCTCTCTGGAGAGGAGGAGGAGGAGGAGGAATTCCAGAGAGTGACGGTGCCGGTCCTGATGTGGTTGATGTCAGAGAAGCAGAATGGAAAAGGTTGGCACCCTCAACAGGTTGTGGTATCGTGGGCCTCAGGGCAGGTTTCCCTATTTCGGAAGGATCCAGTTGCTGACTTGAGGAAGTATTTAAGTGCATCGGCGGTGGAGGAGCGCATGGCAAAGAGGCTGCAGAGTCATCCGGCTTCGGTGATGAGCGAACCTGGGGAGGGGCCAAACTCGGTTTAGCGCATGGTGCAGCCTCCGGAAGGGCCTCGGCACCACACGACAGTGTTGGACCCTCAACAGCCTTGATTTCTACATTCTGGTGGACCCTCTGATCTTCTGGCTGATGCGGGGCTTCCTCGTGAGTCGCGGTTTGGGGTCCAACTGGAGCCGGAAGTGGCAACCGGGCAAAAATATACACTAACTCATTAAGAGTACGCGGAGGCCCAGGCAGCATGAGTTTGGGTGGTGGCATCACCTTCAGAAGGTCTTGCAGGGCTCTGTCAGCTTCCAAAAGCATTCCAACCTCCCGCAGCCACAGGATTTGCATGAAGTGGAATGCTACCGCGTATCGGAACGGACGCATTGGCAGGCCGTGGCATGGTAGTAAAGGGGTTGGGGTGCCCTCGCCCCCGTCCGGCAGTTGGCTCTCTGGGAGCGGAGGTGGGAAGCGCTGATCCAAGTGGCAGCGAACCTCTTGAAGAAGGTCAGTCAAAAGAGTGGATGTCGGGGTTAGAAAGGCGGCACGCCCGGACACGTTCGAGGCGTAAACCCCACCTAAAACACTCAAACGGGATCGGAGCTGGTTCCGGAAGGCATCCGTCTCCGGCTTCGTCAGTTTCCCTCCTTTGGCCATCCCCAAGGGGCACAGATGTCCCAGGAGAAAACACGTATGTGCCTCGAGAATCAGGCCAACCTGCTCCAGCGTATTGCCGAGTTGCAGGAGACCATCCCCACTGTGCCTGGTAAAGTTTGCGATTAGCATGGCGGCCTGCTGGAGCCAGCTGCTTTTCAAGTAATCTCGGTTCTGCCGCCTTGCCGCTGCCATCGTAAGCGGGGGTTCTGACGCGCTTAACAGCAATTTCGGTAACTGTGATTCTTTCGAGTGCCCGGGGAGAGTATTAGCAGACTGTTCACACTTAATACCTTCGGTGGACGGGTCATGGTCAGATTCCTTCGCGTGAGCCGTGGGATATGGCGCGAAAGGGGGAAGAGGCATCTCATTGAACAAGCAGTACGCGTGAGCCAGGGGTGAATGAGGCTGGAGCTCCATACACACCACCTTTTGGATGGTCTTCATGTAGTGCTCCTTGGTAGGGCACATCATCGCGATGAGGACAGCGTGCAGAAAAAGATGATGTTCCAAGGCGACATCAACTGCGCCTTCGCGGTTCCCCTCACAAAGCAGCTGTTGAACCTTGTTTAGGCCCTCTTGAGAATTAACCGATGGGTGGGAGTTTTTTTGAGGAAGCAACTCCACATAGCCAGCCCCCGTACCATCCACGCCGCGGGAGTCACACAACGAAGAAATCGCTGAATCGTCATTCATCAGCAGATGCACCAACTCCTTGTCTCCGCCCTTGGACCACACAAACGCGTGCTCATTGTGCGCCAAAGCGTCCGCTAGCATTATCGTTAGGACTCGTGTCAGCGGAATGTGCTCATTTTGCTGGAGAATGCTGAGAAGTTCCTGAGATTTTTCATTATTGAAGTCCTGTAAGGGAGACACACCGTCAGACGCAAAAAAAGGAGAAAGCGCCACAGCTTCCAGTGAAGCAACGTAGCGACGTCCAGCTTCCGTTCCTTTGACAACATTTTGCTTCCCTGAGGGATTGAAGCGAGACATGGCATCCGATAGCCTGCAGAAAACAAGATGACTGCGCGTAAAGTCCTTCTTCTTTTGGGTATTTCTGCTAGACATGACGTCGTCCACGCCTTGCAGGGAACTCCTTTCTGGGGACCGCTTTGTCAATCTCAACGGCACCCCGCCTTTTGTCAATTCCACAGGCTGGTTGAACACAGCCACAATTCCACCGTGCTTGGGATGGAACAGAGCAAAACACGGAGCGTGCGGCCTGCGCGGTCGGAGTCGTGAGGAGGAGTCCAGATGTGCCGAACTAGCGGGGCTCACGGCCACGTGAGAGTTGGAGATCGCAAAAGGATTCACCATAGTGTCAATCCCCGGTGCCTCCTGCTTTTCTTCTTGTACCGTTAACGGCTGATGATTGAAGAGGGGCTGCCCCTCCGTACGGCTAATGATGGATGCCAATGTGAAAGAATTATTCTTCTTATTCGGGGCTATCGCTGATGTGCAAGTCCCTGTGGATGCTGCAATCTCGTCTGGTTGTGTTACCTGAGCTTCTGAAGTGTGAGGCGCTAAAGATACGGGTGGTTTTGGTGGATCACACACCTTGGGTATTAGAATCTGTTCGCGTGTGTCTTGTGATAAATCCTCCGTCATGTGGACAGCAAGAGTTGGTTTGTGTTCTACTACCTTTCTACTAAGAGGGGCGAGAGCCGATTGGGAAAGCGCCTTTCCCTCCTCACGCTCAACAGAGGACGATACCTTTACGAAATCGTTGAGATCTGAGTTAGACTTCGGCTCTACATTAGGATCCACCTCGGCTTTTGCCCAGTGCGTTTCGGCACCCACCACGCTACTGTCAAAATTCAACATTAATCCTTCAGTTTCATTATTATGAATGGGGTACTCTACAGGTTCCCCCTGTTCCTTCACTGCCGAAGCCACCATGACTGAGTCGACAGCATTAGGAGACTTTGCGTTGAATCCCGAGGGCGTCTCGCTAAATTGGATTGTGGATTCGCTCTCTGTTTTGATTTCTGGATACCGTGGGGCTGGAGATTCCTCGTAAACTCTCATATTTCTATGGGAAGTCGACACTGCGTGACGATACGATGGTTTCTCAGCGGATACCACACGCTGTAAATGAAAAGATGAGTGTTGAACTGAATGTGTTGTGGGTAGGTCGTCCCTGGGCGTCTCAAGCTCCAGGCGCCGCCCTTGCTGCGGTTGGTGAGGAAACGACGGCAGAGAAAGTGGATGCTCATCCGCACGCACTGATGTCTCATTCTGCTCACCTAAGATAGTAGGTCGGGGTAATGGATCCTCATCTTCCGATCGTAGTAATTTTTGGGTTTCCTGCCTCATAAAAGGGGTATTATCGATAATATAATCTCCCGTGGGAGCACTGGTATCACTCCCTCTCACGATTCCAGTGATGCTTTGAGTTGCCTTTACAGAACCCATTGATATAAAGGGGTTCGAGGACTCAAAAGAAGCGGTGTTGCCAGTATCACGGGCTCCATCTGAGGTTGAGCAATTCGCATTGGTGTTGAGGTTGAGAGGTGAGCGGGCATTCGTCAAGTCTGACCCCCTCATCGGTTGCACACCATTACTTTCGAGGCACGTATCCTCACCATGAGTGTGTTCTTTGAGCGAAGGGCTGCTGGTGATAGACGACTTTGGGAAGGGATGCCCCACCGAGATGGGGGCCTCGACAGTCCCTGCACCGTCGCTGGGGTCGACTATAGAGTTTGAAAAGAAAAGCATATCGGCATCTGGCACTTCTTGAGGTGCGTCTTCAACCTTTTGCGCATTGAAGACGTTTTCGGGTGTGGGTTTAGCAGGGCCTTGGAGAGAATCATCCATGTTCTCCCGTGCTGCAGCGACGGCATTACACGCATAAGGGGGGACAGAATCTGCTGGATGAGAGCGTTTGTTAGGGTCTACCGGACGGGGAACGTTTGGCTGGATGTGTTTGTTAGCCGAGCCTGAGAAAAGCACACCCCTTGAACCCATCTCCTCACGTGGGCTCGAATCAATGTAATTAGGATCGAGATCGGCACCGCTTGATAAGCCCTTCGTGACGACAGAGTCCTGAATGCTGTTCCTAGACGTTTTTGTGAAAGTCGCATTCAACGCGCTCGCTCGACGCCGTTCCAGCGCAGCAACAAGCAACTCCTCACCTCGACTGCGCCCCCGGACGAATCCCCCGTGCTGTGAGGCATGACGCCCACCTGGCCCCACCGACGACACCGGAGCGTCGCCCTTGAGTAGATGAGAGCGATATGTGCTCAGCTGCTGCGAGCTTAAACTGCTTTTTCGCGAAAAAATGCTCCCGCTGAGGTGACCAGTTCCGCCCAAAGAATTGGACATAATATTACCGGTTAGCGCGTGATCTTGTTGTTGTTGATGATCATAGTGGTGTGGAGAGCCATTAGCGTAGCGGTTACCCACTCTTGGAGTAGAGTCGGCCAGATGGGGAACTTCGAGGCAAAGATGCGAACCACCACACGATCTCGGCGTACCATGAGGTAACATAACGCCTGGAGCACGCGTGGGAAGGCCTTGAACATTACGCTCCTTCTCCTCAAACGAAGAGTGAACAGGATGTGTTGCGGCTGTGCGCTGGGAAATCGGCGGATTCGAGCTCCTAATTAAAACAGGAACCGATGGCTTCTCAGCAACTTCGGCCATCCGTGTGGGATGTTGATACGCCGGTGTGGATTCAAGGGTATTGGTTTGTGAATCAACTATAGGATGAGTGGCACCTTCTGGCCCTGAACGAAGGGGTGTGCTGTTCGGAGAACCGTGATGGGAAGTCTTTTCCGTGCCTACAAGTAAAGACGCTTTCAGGTGGGCTTGAGGGCCCGAGTAGTTCTCAGCTGTTGAGTACGTGAAGGAAGTAGAAACATCACCTTCACCAGATTTAGCCCCTTTGTATGTGGGTGCATTGACAGTGGGCGCCATGTTGCCTGAAAACGAGTTAAAGTCGTACGGGGACCCCATCGTTTTGGGTTTGGAAGGAAGAGCTGCGCTTGAGGTAATTAGTGGGGGAGGAGGCATCACGTGAGGTCCCTTCGATCCCGTGTTTGATACATCACCGCTACCTGCCTCTGGCACCTCATGTGCTAAATGGGAGATGGGATTAGGCGGCGGTGGTACGTACGGGGTACCCTTTGTGGATAAAGGAAACCGCGGCGGTAAGTGTGCTGACATTGTAGGCTTATGATTGCTAAATTTAATTTGTATTTTTTTTTATGAAATAGAATAATGCTATATGCGTATATATATTGTGAGAATAATATCGTATTCTGTTTACCAACACTATACAAAATGGAGATATATGCCAAAAGAAAGATAAGGCGTTGAAAGAACGAACAAAAAAAAAGTGCAAAAGAAATCCTCAAGAGAATCCAACAGCAATAACAGAAGATGGTTTCTGATATAAGAAAAAAAAATGTTTTATTTGGGCGTGGCAAATCATCATTCGCCTACAGCTACTGCTTTAGTAATATTTTCGCTACTCACATACGACCGACCGGCACGTGATCTCACACTCTTTTTCTCTTACCCTTGATGAACACAGGGATAATTCACTTCTTTTCATCTTCAGTGCAGCTATCGGAATCATCATCTAGCAAGCTCTTCAAGAATGAACTCCGCGGTGCAGCTCCCTTTGATTGGGCAACAGAACGCGTAGACGATCTTGAGACCCTAACGCTTCCATACGCACCCTCACACCCCTGTTCCCGTTTGGGTGAGAAATCCACCACCTCCTCGCCTTCCTCTTCGAGGATAAACGCATTCCTTGATGCTCCTCGAGCAACCGGTGGGGCCGGACCCGTGTGACCCCCGACGGCCGGGTACCCCCCCCCAT